AAACTTTTAAGATAAGAAAGTCTGTTAGCCAATATATGGGTTAGAGTGACCTGTAAGGGTGTGTGAGTTAACCCTGGTCTGTCTTAGCCTTATGTCCTGCTTATAATTTGGTATCTTATTGTCACAACGAGTCCATTCTGTTAGGCCCTATAATTTTTATTTTAACATTAATGCTGGTCAGCTTCACCTAAATTCCAAAAGCAGGGGATGGAGAGATACAATGAGGTGTATCTAACCTTTCTTTCTGTCAAGGCCAAGAACTCATTTTTCCCAGTTTCTCTGGGGTCTCTGTGGTCAAGAGAGTCTGTTCAGTCAGTTGCGGGGCGTGAGGAATTTAGTTTACATGGGCAATGAGAGTATCCTTCCAGATTCAACTTTGCATTTACTTTTGTCAAGAGTCCTTATAGTGGCATAGTTCTGGTTGAGTTTTATATTTTTAAGTTTAGAGTTTCACAGACAGCATGGATCATGAAAATCTGAACCCCAAATATGGTATGAGAAATGAACCTGAGTTTGAATTTAAAGCCCACACAGATCAGGTATTTCCTTGTTGAAGTTTCCTTCTCTTTTCCACTGGAATGACTTTCTCTTATCTTCCTTTTTAAGTATACTACTTTGTGAGTTTTGACTACTTTATGTAGGGGTCTCAAGTTGTAAGGCTTTATTGTCTGTCCCTCCTGAGAGCATCAAAAACGCAAATTTGGGGCTGGGCGCGGTGGCTCACGCCTGTAATCCCAGCACTTTGGGAGTTCCGAGGCAGGCGGATCACCTGAGGTCAAAAGTTCGAGACCAACCTGACCAACATGGAGACCAGACCCCCTGTCTCTACTAAAAATACAAAAATTGGCCAGGTGTGGTGGTGCATGCCTGTAATCTCAGCTGCTCGGGAGGCGGAGGTTGCGGTGAGCCAGATGGCGCCATTGCACTCCAGTCTGGGCAACAAAAGCAAGACTCTGTCTCAAAAAAATAAATAAAATATAAAACTTAAAAAAATGCAAATTTGGTTTTCAGTTTTCCTCAGTTTCTGAGTCCTTGATTTCCCTTTTTTCCCCTCTGTATTTAGCAATGCATTTTTGAAGTATGTTTGTTAACCAGGGGTGGTGACTCACACCTGTAATCCCAGCACTTTGGGAGGCAGAGGTGGGAGGATTGCTTGAGTCCAGGAGTTTGAGACCAAACTAGACGATACATTGAGACCTCATATCTACAAAAAAGTCTTTTTAAATGACCTGGTCATTGTGGCGTGTGCCTGTAGTCTCAGCTACTTGGGTGGCTTAGGTGGGAGGATCTCTTTAGCCTAGGTTGTGAAGGTTGCAGTGAGCTGAGATAGTGCCACTGCACTCCAGCCTCAGTGACAAAGCAAGACTGTCTTTTTTTAAAAAAAAAAAAAAAGAGAGAAAACCAAGTATGTTTCTTATGGCTAAGCTATTATTTTTAGATTTTTGTATTATGATTTTCACTAAATGTCGGTGATGTTGTCACAGACCTTTAGAGTTACTTTAACAGAGTTTGTATTTATGTTCTGCAACTACATTAGTGATCTTTCATTGTCCTAGGTTGATTTTAATCATCAAAAACCAGTGAACATTTTCCATTGTGTTAGGAACATCCATGTACTACTCCTTGCAGAAACAAGAGCATGTTTGGCCCATGGAGAAGTGAACGTAATTTTCTGACTACCCATTCCACTCAAAGGAAAGAATGTTTTAGATGACAAGGTCAGATGAACCTGCATTCCTTATTGACTTTCCTGGACTGATTGTCTTTTATATACTTTTTATGACAAAGAGCCATGTGATTAAATTTTATTCATAACTTCCAATTTTTATCCATATATTTTGATTCTATTTAGGGCATTTTTTCAGAGCCTTCTGACTTCTTCTTTTTGTGGAATGATGAATTTCTAAACTTGCTCACTGCCATTCCTGGAATTTCATTTCATTGTATTCACTGGGTTACTTCTGTCATTTACTGGATGTTGTCTAATCACTTCAAATAAGAGAGATAGGGAGTGTTGTGAGCACATACCAAGTGATTTTCTGCTATGTGAGAAGCAGCTTTGGATCTTGATATATCTGATGAAGGTTCTTTTATGCCCTTACCCTAGATTAATAGTGTGATTGGAGTACAAAATTCTAGGTTCAATATTCTTTTCCCTCAGAGAACTTTTAGCATCTGTTTTTGCTATGGGAAGTGTCTGATGTTAATCTAATTCTTATTTCTTTGTAAGTTACTATCCCTTCCCTTTTCTGGAAACTGAGGATTTCTTTGAAATTCCTTAGAGTACTAAAATTGATAAGTGAAATGATGAAATCATACTGCATATAGTAAACTACTTCTTAATGTTCTCTTTAGTCATTGTGGTTTCTGATGACTTTGAGTTAGAAAGTAAATTTATTGGCTGGGCGAGGTGGCTCACACCTGTAATCCCAGCGCTTTGGGAGGCTGAGGTGGGCAGATCATCTGAGGTTGGTAGTTCGAGACCAGCCTGACCAACAGGGAGAAACCCCCTCTCTACTAAAAATACGAGACTAGTCAGGCGTGGTGGTGGATGCCTGTAATTCCAGCTACTCCGGAGGCTCAGGCAGAATTACTTGAGCCCGGGAGGCAGACTGCAGTAAGCTAAGATCGGGATCGGGCCATTGCACTCCAGCCTGGGCAACAAAAGTGAAACTCCATCTCAAACCAAAAAAAAAAAAAAGGGAGGGGCAGGGGAAGAAAGTAAACTTATTTCCAGAATACTAATGAATAGCTCCCTTCACTTCCCATGCTTTGTCTCTTTTTCACCATCACAGCACAAAGAGAAGTGATGGTAACTTTTCTCAGCCACTTTTTCTTACCTCTACTTTTAAAAGCATTGCATTTGTTATAAAATAAGAATGTTGTTAGCCCACAATTTGAACGTCACTGAAAATATGTAAAAGTTTATAACCTAAAGGTTTTCTTTTGTCATTTGACCATCATGAGGATCTATAGCATTCTCCTTCATTTTAGGTAGTGGATTTCTAGAATTCTGAGTTCTCTGTCTGATCTTACATTAGGCTTTCCAGGGTAGGATATGCAATGAAAAGCTAATCATCATGATCGGTTACTAGCATTTTGTTCTTTTAAAAAGTCAGTGTTAACCAAATCTTTTATATCAGTTGTGGAGCCAGCCTGTTTCCAGTGCTCATGTAGTTCATTTGCAGGCTTGTCAGGTCTTGATTGTTCTACTTCAAAAAAAAAAAAATTAAATTTAAATTTCAATGGTTACTGATCATTTTTTAAGTGTTAGGATTATCAGAACATAAAAACTAACTTTCTCACTAAAATCAAAGGATGAAAATAAGTGTACTTCTACTAGATTAGTTGGTAGTTCCTTACCCAAAGATTCAACCAACCACAGATTGGAAATACTCAGAAAAAATGAAATAAAAGTGACAATACAACAATAAAAAAATTTCAAATACAGTATAACAGCTATTTATAAAACCATTTGCATTGTATTGTGTTGATATTGTAAGTAATCTAGAGATTTAAAGTATATGGGAGGTTGTGTATAGGTAATATGCAAATATGACACCATTTTATGTCAGAGACCTGAGCATCTTAAGATTTCGTTATAGGGGAGTGGTCTCTGGAACCAACCCTCTAGGATACCAAGGGATGACTGTACATGGAATATCTCTGCTAAGTAATTTGAAATGATCAAATATAGTCATTTAGCAATTTGCTTCATTCCTTCCAGGTTAAATAAAATAATCAGTTCTGTTTCATATGCTTATCTAAAATCTAACACTAATGTGTAATCCCTTATACTTTTGCTAATGTTATAAGATGATTTTTATGGTTAGCTATAGGTACTAATTATTTTGCAACCAAAAGTATTGTAATGCCCAACTAATTAGAACTTAGAGGAATAGATTGGAGATTTGGAGATAGATGTTCTACTAGAAAACACACAGGCTTATCAAATTTCCAGTTAATTTGTATCTGATAGTTTTGGGGAGACTCATTTGGGAAACTGAATTCGCTGGGGACAGTTGGAGTATTAATAATGCAATTAAGTGATCTATATTAGTTTTACAGCTAGTAAGCCCATGCTGGGACCCTTGAAAACTTGAAAAGTACTTCCAAACTGCTGTGATATTATAGTTAAAGAACTCATTAGGTAATTAGCTATTTCTTTATCTGTCTAATATAAATCTTAGTTTATACACGTAACTCTTGTTTGTTTTTTTGAAACAGAGTCTCACCCTTGTTGCTCAGGCTGGAATACAGTGGTGTGATCTTGGCTCACTGCAACTGCAGCCTCCCAAGTAGTTGGGATTACAGGCACGTGCCACCACACCTGGCTAATTTTTGTATTTTTAATAGAGATGGGGTTTCACCGTGTTGGCCAGGCTGGTCTCGAACTCAGAGACCTTTGGTGATCCAGTGGCCAATGCCTCCAGAAGTGCTGGGGTTTCAGGTGTGAGCTACCACGGCTGGCCCTGTGTAACCCTCTTTAAAGAAAATAAATATAGTGGCCTAAACAGGAATAAGGAGGTAGAGGAGTGTGATTGAGAATAAGTTTAAGGACCTACATAAATTATATCTCCTACTAAGCTGAACTTACAGCCGAGAATTGATGCCTAAAACAGTAACTGATAATGATGGGAGATTGTAGTGGAGTGTAGTTTCTTAGGTGGTTTGGGAACTTAAAGAGAAGGTCAGCTACTCTACAAAAGTTATGTTATGCTATTATATACCCTATATGTCATTACCTCATTTGCCTTAGGATGAGTTTTAAAAACAAAGTTCATTTTTCACTTGATACCATTTACTGTGCGTCTCCCTTTCCTGTTCCACCCCACTCCAGCATTTTTAAAAGGTTTTAAATTTGAATTGATAGCATATATTTTTTCTCTGCTTTACATTTTTAGGTTTTAGGTTAAGTACATCTTAACACCTTTGCATATGCAGTAACATGAAATCCTTAAGAGATCTTACTCAGTTGATCCATTTTGTTGCATTGGCAGAGTGAAGATAGTCCAAGTCCCAAGAGACAGCGCCTCTCTCATTCAGTCTTTGATTATACATCAGCATCACCAGCTCCCTCACCACCAATGCGACCATGGGAGATGACATCAAATAGGCAGCCCCCTTCAGTTCGACCAAGCCAACATCACTTCTCAGGGGAACGATGCAATACACCTGCACGCAACAGAAGAAGGTTAGTTGATTATAATTTATTTCTTAAGTTTTCTTCCATTGGTAGATTTGTGAGTATATTTAACATCAGAAAACATTTTTTATGTAGCCATTTCATAAACACATCATCATACATACATATACATTCATTCATAAAAAAGTTTCTTAGATTTCTACTAGGTCAGAAGAGTTTATTTAGCTTATCATTGACAGATGAAAAAATACAAAGAGCTACCTTGTAGTATAGATTTTTGCAGGCTAGCCTGCAATCTTGATTACTAGAAGATGCATTTTACAGTTCATAACTGTAAGGATATATGGAAATTTTAGAAATGAACTACTCTTTTCCCACTCCATTCCTTTTCCTTCTGTATCCTCTAAGGCAATTAGGAGCTTAATTATGTTTCTTCTAAAACTGGAGAGTCAGCATGGTAGTGGCTCATGACTATAATCCCAACACTTTGGGAAGCCAAGGTGGGAGGATCACTTGAGGCTGTAGAGTTCAAGACCAGCCTGGGCAACATAGCAAGACCCTGTCTACCAAAAAAAAATAAGTTGAGCATGTTGGCCCACATCTGTAGTCCAAGCTAATTGAGCGACTGACACAGGAGGATTGCTTGAGCCCAGGAGTTTGAGGCTGCAGTGAGCCTGAGCTATGATTGTGCCACTGCACTCTAGCCTTGGTGACAGAATAAGACACCATCTGTATTTTAAAAACAACAGCACAACTCTGGAGCCTGTGGTATGAAAAGATGATTGATCTTTAGTTCAACTGTTAGGCAACCCAACTTGGCCATTGTCTTTTCATCCCAGAGGAATGCATTTCTTTTTTTTTTTTCCTTTTTCTTTTCTTTCTTTCTTTCTTTTTTTTAAAGACAGAGTCTCGCTATGTCACCAGGTTGGAGTACAGTGGCACAATCTCGGCTCACTGCAACCTCTGCCTCCTAAGTAGCTGGGATTACCAGCGCATGCCACCACACCTGGCTAATTTTTTTTTACTTTCAGTAGATACGGGCTTTCACCGTGTTAGCCAGGATGATCTCCTGACCTCACAATCTGCCCACCTTGGCCTCCCACAGTGCTGGGATTACAGGCATGAGCCACCGTGCCTGGCGGAGGAGTGCATTTCTTCCTGAGTTTCTTCCTCATTAGGAAGAAGTTGTTGCTTGAGGTCATGCATTTCTTATCCCAGGAAAATAGTGCATCATGAGATGCCTGTTCGTATGTCTAGGCTGTTGAAGGAATAGCAATGATTGTGAATTAGGAAGGTGTTATGACCAAATGTTTATAAACTCCCCCGTGCCCTTCCCCCCCATTAATGTGTTGAAGCTATAATCTTCCCATAACCCTCAGTATGGTTGTATTTAAAGATGTCACCTACCTCTAAGGAAGTATAATTAAAGTTAAATGAGGTCGTAAGGTTAGGACCCTTACCAGCAAAATTAATGTCCTTTAAGAAGGGATGGGTTGGGCACTCGGTGGCTCATACCTGTAATCCCAGCACTTTGGGAGGCTGAGGCAGGCAAATCATGAGGTCAAGAGATTAAGACCATCCTGGCCAACATGGTGAAACCTCATCTCTATTAAAAAATTTAAAAATTAGCTGGGCATGGTGGTGGTGCACACCTGTAGTACCAGCTACCTGGGAGGCTGAGGCAGGAGAATCCCTTGAACTCAGGAGGTGGAGGTTACAGTGAGCCCAGATCACACCACTGAACTCCAGCCTGGTAACAGACAGAGCGAGACTGCATCTCAAAAAAAAAAAAAGGATGTCGGGAACTTACCTTCAACCATGTGAGGAAGTGATGAGATATAGTTGACTGCAAGCCAGGAAAAGATTCCTCTCTAAAAACCAACTATGCTGGTACCTTGATTTCAAACTTCTAGCCTTTAAAACTTTAAGAAATTAGGTATCTGTTTAAGCCACCCAGTCTGTGATGTTTTGCTATGGCAGCCTAAGTGGGCTAATACAGAAGGGATCTTAAAACCACCATTTTAATGTTCCAGATGAGACAGCATAAACCTGTGTCTGAGCTAAATTCTGTCAAGACTCTAAGACTTTGACATTACCCAGTACCTTATTAACCAATTACATGGGAATGTTTTTAGGTAAGCTATCAGGTAAATTATTTTATAGCCATTAAATATAAGAAGCATGAGGAAGTATAATTGTTTCAAAGTTAAGGCCTGAGTACCTGCCATAGTCTTTTCCTGTTTTATGGTGAATAAAACAAACGTACAGTTAAAAGGCTGACAAAGCTGGCCACCATGGCTCACATGGAATTACAAAGTAATTCCAGCACTTTGGGAGGCCGAGGCAGGCAGATCACCTGAGGTCAAGAGGAAGACCAGCTTGGCCAAAATGGTGAAACCCTGTCTCTACTAAAAATACAAAAATTATCTGGGCATGGTGGCGGGTGCCTGTAATCCCAGCTACTCTTGAGGCTGAGGCAGGAGAATCGCTGGAACCTAAGAGGCGGGGTTGCAGTGAGCAGAGATCATGTCCACTGCACTCCAGCCTGGGGGATAGGATGAGACTGTCTCAAACAACAACAACAACAACAAAAGACTAACAAATACACGTATCCAGCATCTAGGTGAAAATAGTGTTATTGATCCCTCAAAGGCCGCAGGTGCTATTCTTCCCCTTTATTTTTCTTGTTCTGGAATTTGACATTATTCCCTATTCAGTCATGGTTTTTAATATCTGTGAAATATACTGTTAATATGATTTTGGTTTTTGCCTGTTTTCATTTAAAAGTATTTTTGTTTTACTGTTTATTTTTATTTGTATATTTATTTTTTATTTTTGAGATGGAGTTTCATTTGTTGCCCGGGCTGGAATGCAATGGCATGATCTCGGCTCACTGCAACCCCCGCCTCTTGGGTTCAAGCAATTCTCTGCCTCAGCTTCCCAAGTAGCTGGGATTACAGGCATGTGCCACCACACCCAGCTAATTTTGTATTTTTAGTAGAGACAGGGTTTCTCCATGTTGGTCTCAAACTCCTGACCTTAGGTGACCCACCTGCCATGGTGTACCAAAGTGCTGGAATTACAGACATGAGCCACCGTGCTGGCCTCTGTTTATTAAGCATTCTGTTTTTGTTTTTATTTAAAAAAAATTTAAGTTCAGCTTTTTATTGAATGCATTATAAAAGAGGTTTTTTTTCCCCCCCGAGACGGAGTTTGGCTCTTACCCAGGCTGGAGTGCAGTGGCGTGATCTCGGCTCACCGCAACCTCCACCTCCTGGGTTCAAGCAATTCTGCCTCAGCCTCCTGAGTAGCTGGGATTACAGGCACGCGCTGCCATGCCCAGCTAATTTTTTGTATTTTTAGTAGAGATGGGGTTTCACCATGTTGACTAGGATGGTCTCAATCTCTTGACCTCGTGATCCACCCGCCTCGGCCTCCCAAAGTGCTGGGATTACAGGCATGAGCCACCGCGCCCGGCCTATAAAAGAGGTTTAATCAAAAACACCAAAGCCCACGTTATCACACTCCTTGGATTCTTCTTTCTTAGCTTCCACTTTGTTCTCCTTAGTTGGAGCAGCAGCAGTGGACGGGGCAGGACCTCCTGCTGGAGCACGTCCATCAGCCCCTACAGTGCAGATGAGGCTCCCAATGTTGGTGTTGGCCCAGGGCCTGTGCACACAAGCCAGGCCAAAAAGATTCAAAATTGACACCAGCTGCTTTAATGAGGGCATTGATCTTGTCCTCCTTACCATGATACAGAATGAGGGCCAAGTAGATGCAATGCAGGTGAGCTCCAAGAGAGAGGCCATGACATGGGCGAATGTGGGGCTGGCACTGCTGTACGTGATGCTGGTAGACGGATGAAGTGAGGGCCTCATCCCAGTTTGGCCTTAGCTTTCTCGGAAGGACTAAGCACCTTAGTGGCAGCTGAAGAAAGGCGGCATTTTGTTTTTAATATTGGTAGCAGTAGCAATAGTTCTGTTACTGTGATATAATGTTTCATTATATCAATGTACTATACAATTTATGTATCTGCTACTATTATTGGCTAGTAACCGTGCCCAGTTTATTACCTTTTTTAATTTTTTATTTATTTATTTATTTTTTGAGACAGACTGACTCCTGTTGCCCAGGCTGGGGTGCAGTGACATGATCTCGTCTTACTGCAACCTTCGCCTCCCAAGTTCAAATGATTTCCTGCCTCAGCCTCCTATGTAGCTGGGACTATAGGCACCTGCCACCACACCAGGCTAATTTTTATAGTAGAGACAGGATTTCACCATGTTAGCCAGGCTCATCTCAAACTCCTGACCTCAGGTGATCCACCCGCCTGGCCTCGGAAAGTGCTGGGATTACAGACATGAGCCACCACACCCAGCCCTATTATAAACAGTACTGTTAGGAACCTTTGTATGCACATCTCTCTGTGTACATGTGCAAAAGTTTCACTAGGATGTAAGTCTAGGAGTAGAACTGCTACGTCATAGGAAATGACAGACCAGGAAGGGAGTGTCAGAATGTCTGTTTACGGCTGATGATAATGGTAACTACCTTTGAGTTCTTTGAGAAGGAAGCATCATGGTCTTTGCTCATGGCAACACAAAGGAGCAGTAGAGAGTATTTACCACCCAGAAAACTGGCTCTACTGGTTTTTTTTTTCCCAGCAGTGTGTTTTATTCTGCATTTTGTTCTTGTTTACCACTTAATATAGGTTAGCTATAAGCGTAGCTGCCAGATTTTCTTTCCAGAAACAGACTGTGCCAGGCAGGTGCAGTTTTTAACACTGTTATCTAGCAGGATTTCAGTTACAAATGGTGAGCACAAAACAAGGTATTTGAAGAAAACAAATGATGTAAAAGAGGGATACTATTAATAAATGTAGTTGCAACAAAGAGCTTGAATAAACAAAGCCATTAAACTCAATTAACAACAAACTTCAAGAAACAGTAGAACAAGCAAGATCGAATTTTAGAATATGTGTAATATGAGAGATGTAAGAGGGAAAGGATGAGGGATATTATTCTCATGAAAATCACCTAGAAATGTTAGCTGGTAAAACTAAATAGACAAAGTGAGTTCATTCTGGAAGATTAAGTGGAGGAAATTTTCCAAAATATAGTGTAACAGGGCAAATGGAAAATGTAGAAAAGTAAATTTAAGTATGCACACAGAGTCATAAGTTCTGAAAGTCTACTAATATTTAAAAAAAAAAAAAAATGTAGGCTGGGCTCGATGGCTTACACGTATAATCCCAGCACTTTGGGAGGCTGAGGTGGGAGGATCACCTGAGGTCAGGAGTTCGAGACCAGCCTGGCCAACGTGGCCCAACTAAAAATACAAAAATTAGTTGGGCCCACATGGTGGTGTAGGCCTATAATCCCAGCTACTTGGGAGGCTGAGGCAGGAGAGTCTCTTGAACCCAACAGGCGGAGGTTGCAGTGAGCCAAGATCACACCCTTATACTCCAGCTTGGGCGACAAAGCAAGACTCTGTCTAAAAAAAAAGAAAAAAGTAAAATCATTTTCCAGAATTGAAGAAAGACTGAGTTTTGAACAGGATCTTGCTGAAATTTTAGAGCCATATACCAAGGATAAATAAAAATTTGCAAACATTCCAAGACAGAAAATACTATCCATAAAGAAATGAGAAGTAAATAGACCACAAACTTCTTATTAACAACATCAGATATAAGAGGACAGTGGACTAAATCTTCAAAGTTATGAGAGGATTTTTTACTTTGAAGTCTATCGGCTGATTTACAATTAAAGTGTAATGTCAAAATATAAAAGCATGGTCAAATATTCAGAGACTCTGAAAGTTGGTAAATAACAGACAGATCCTTCCCCTATATCCGTGGATTCAATCAGCTGCAGATTAAAAATACAATACTCTTTAGATGCGTAACCCGTGGATATGGAGGACCATCCTTTTGTATCCTTGGGTATGGCCAACTTTGGGACTTCAGCATCCATGAATTTTGATATCCAAGTGGTGCACTCCTGGAACCAGTCCATCATGAATACTGAGGGATGACCATATTGTGAAATAATTGTACTCTGTCCAGGAAGCAGTGTAAGAAATGCAGGAAGTGTAGGGTTCAAGACCATTGGTTAGCAAAGTAAACAAAAAAGACATACTACTAAGTCTGAATAAGGGTCTGTTGTTTAAAACAGAAATACAGAAAAGGTCTGAACATGAGATGGGGATGGAGCAGAGAAGTTCCCCTTCCGCAGAAATGCTGATTAGATGGTTTTAGAAAAATGGAGATACGTGTTTGAAAATTTAAGACTAATCACTAGAAGAAGAGAATGCATAAATTCTAATTTAAATAAACAAGTAGAAAACTGCTAACAAAAGGCAGAAAAGTGACTCCAGGAGGGAACAGCTTTGTGCTATTTACAGGTTTCTATACCTAAAACAAAATTACAAAGTTTGTATCTGTCACAGGTGACATTTGTCAATCTAACATCACTGTTTTGTATTTAAAGATTTTTCAGTAATTCTGCATCTTAAATGTTCTGCCACACAAAGGCACACAAAACAGATATAATGAGAGAGAATACAGGAAAGATCAGAATTAAAATTGTGAAATCTGTCAGCATGAGGACTGGATCTAATTTTGTGATTAGTTTGAGAGCTACTAAAATTATTTTTGGTAGGGAAATGAGATCAAGTGGCAACAATTGAGAGAATACATAGTATTAAAAGAGGCTCTTTGGTTTGTGGACAGGTTGGGTATTTTAAGGAAGATGAGTGATCTGAGCGTATACTATTTTGATTTTAAGGTACACATTTTTTCAAAATGTAACATCTAATGAAGACTTAAAATTGGTATATCATATCTTCTTGGCCACTTTTCTTTTTAGCAATGCATAAAATAGTCCTTGAAAATGTTTTTATAGGTAAAGAAATGTTGCTATGTGCACATACATGAACTGGCACTGTAATGTTTCTTTAATCTGCTGTCTTAGCCCAGAAGTCATAACTCCCTGGTAGCAGAGAGCACAACTAGCACCTGATCTTGGCTTCCAGATACCATTCTATAGTCAAAGGAACCAGAGCTCTTTGTAGAATTGGTTAATTCCAGGGCTTGGGTAGAGAAACTACAAGATGAGTCTGGAGAGATTGTGGTGCAGATACTAAGGAAGTGCTCAGAAGAATGGGGACGTACTAAAAGAGCACAGGGGCCAAACTGAAAGTGTTGCCACTGGAACAACAAAATAAAACGATGGACAAAAGAAATATAAAACCCGAAGAATAAAATAAATATCTGAGTCTATGTTGGTTATAAGTAACTGGATAACAAACTAAGAGAAATAGAAAATCACCAGTAGAACAATCTAGTAGTGTTTGCTGCAGGTTCCATCCATGCATGCTAAAATTATTGGTAAAACTTTAAGCAGAAGTAGGATATTTGCCTGTGCTCAAAGTATCTTCACCCAAATATTTGGTAATTACCAAAGGAGGAATGATGGCTTTGTGTGGAGGGTCCAGGTGATTATTGTTGATATGACCATTGATGCATATTAATGTCGTGTGCCCCCTTCACATGATACCGCCTTCAAATGATATTTCACCTCTGCCATATTTTTTCCAATAACACATAACCTTAGGCACATAACATAATGAGAAAATAAACTCAGGATGAGGGGCATTCTGCAGAATTAATTTCTGCTATATTCAGAGGTGTCAAGGATATGAAAGACAAGGAAAGACTCAAACTGTCACAGATTGGCGAATATTAAGAGGACAAGACAATGTGCGATAGGGGTTCCTGCATTTGGATTCTCAAACAGTGAGGGGTCAGTAGTGGAAAAATCACCATACATTCTCTAGTTTAGTTAATAGTATGGTATCAGGATTTACTTAATTTCGATAATTTTTCTATGGTCATGGAAGATACTAACTCAGAGAAGTTGGTTGAGGGGTATGCAGAAACACTATATTAAATAATTACCTCAAAATGTCTTTATGGCCAGGCACATGGTGGCTTACCTCTGTAATCCCAGTACTTTGGGAGGCCAAGGCCAGCAGATTATCTGAAATCAGAAGTTCGAGACCTCATGGCCAACCTGGTGAAACCCTGTCTCTACTAAAAATACAGAAAAAAAAAAAAAAAAAGCTGGGGGTGGTGGCGCAGATATCTTTAATCCCTGCTAGTTGGGAGGTACTTGAACCTGTTAGGTGGAAGTTGCAGTGAGCCAAGAGATTGCACCAGTGCACTCCCACCTGAGTGACAAAAGTGAAGCACCATCTTAAAAAGTTTTTAGTCCTAAGGTGGAGGGCATTTGAATTCAATAAAATACAGTAACTAGATTTTGAAGCGAAATGCAAAAAGCATTATATTAAAAATAAACTTGCAAGAAACAATTAATGGAGCAAGAAGTTGGAGGGACGGTAGCAAGAGCATCTTTGCAAGTCGATCTCACAAAGGAATGCCCCTTGTTCTTTTAAGATTCGAGAATTTGGAATAAGAAGAAACAGATTTAGAGGAACACGGGGAAGATTAGGGAAAAAGTGACTGATCTCAGCAAAGAAGGTTGCTGAAATGACACTTGGAACTCTTCCTAGAAAGGAGATGTTTGACCTCCTTTGCCCAATGTAGAGTACAGTTTTAATGAGGCCGGCTACTTTTTCAAGATGGTTTTCTGCTGAGCCACTGTAAAAAGCAGTGGAGGTGAATTGCGAAAGTTTAGAGAAGGACAAAATGAAAGTTTAATCATAATAAAATGTTTATTAAAACTATGTAGATGACTAGTACATGGACAGTAAATGTGGCTTGCTTCAATAAGCAAATTCTCTCTCTCTTTTTGTTTTTATTTTAAGGACAGGATCTCAGGCATGGTCTCGACTCACTCCAGCCTTGGCCTTCCAGGCTTTAGGTGATCCTCCCACTTCAGCCTCCCAGGTAGCTGGGACTACAGGTGCACATCACCACGCCCAGCTGCCATATTTTGTAATTTTGGGTAGAAACAGGGTTTCACCATGTTTCTCAGTCTGGTATTGAACTCCTGGGCTCAAGGGATCCACCTGCCTTAGCTTTTCAAAGTGCTAGGATTACAGGCATGAGCCATTGCACCTGGCCCAACAAGCAAATTCTAATTTAAAATTCTATATAAATATATACACCCAGTGTATACCCATAAAAATTAAAAGTTAAAATTTTATATGTTCTTGGAATATTTTTGTTGATACTGTCTCTCAGTCATACTCATTCTCAATCATATTTATTGCGTGTTTACCCGGTTTCTATTTGCAGTTGTCAGCACATTATATGTCCTTTGGTTCATTCAAGTTTTTCTCTTATTTTGAAAAAGTATCATTTGGCCACATAGGAACTATGTGTTCTGTATGTGTTAGCTAAAAAGACAAAAAGTGCCCATTATGTGAATGAGGAATACTGACAAGATATATACAGATTAAAGTTCATCTTATTATAATGTTTAAGAAGGGAGAAAAAAATAGGTTAAATCATATGAAATTATTGATCTTAGACTATTTTTTAATTATAAAAAGGGCAATTTTATATCATGCAAGGAAAAATTTCCCATAGCTGTTGATTTCTAAATACTTTCAGAGATGAATACCAATATTGTTTTCTTTCATTATTTTATAAAACATACACCTTGTATTTAAATTTGTAAGAGCTGGTGGCGAATTTTAGCAGTTCTTTAACACTGAAGCTTTCTTTAGCATATACTATTGATATCAAAGAAAGACAATACAGAATCCTGCTGGATCACAACAATAAACATAATGACTTTCTTTTTGACATTTTTTACAGTCCTCCTGTCAGGCGCCAGAGAGGAAGAAGGGATCGTCTGTCTCGACATAATTCCATTAGTCAAGATGAAAACTATCACCATCTCCCTTACGCACAGCAGCAAGCAATAGAGGAGCCTCGAGCCTTCCACCCTCCGAATGTATCTCCCCGTCTGTTACATCCTGCTGCTCATCCACCCCAGCAGAATGCAGTCATGGTTGACATACATGATCAGGTACAGTAACAGAATGTCTTGGAAATACAGAAGCTGAAATTTTGTGGCAGTTTGAGATTTTTTTTTTTTTTTTTTTGCTTAATAATGGCCGATCAATATTTCATTTAAAGCTATCAGTAGGTGTGGTGTGATACTGATAAGAATGTATATTTTGTGTATTTAAAGTGGAGAGTTCTATAAATGTTTATTAAGTTTATTTGTTCTGGCTCTGAGTTCAAGTCTTGGATATCCTTATTAATTTTCTCTCTCATTAATCTATCTAATATTGATGTTGAAGTCTCCCACTATTGTGTGGGAGTCTAGGAAGTCGTAAGTCTCTTTATAGGTCTTATGTATCGGGGTGTTCCTTTATTGGGTGCGTATATATTTAGGATCGTTAGCTCTTCTTGTTGCATTGATCCTTTTACCATTATATCTTTATTGCTTTAAAATCTATTTTATCAGAGGCGAAAATTGCAACTCCTGCTTTTTATTTATTTATTTTTGCTCTCCATTTGGTTGGTAAATCTTTCTCCATCCCTTTGTTTTGAGTCTTTGTGTATCCTTGCATGTGAAATGGGTCTGGATGCAGCATACCGTTGGATTTTGGCTGTACATTTTAATTAAGGGATTTAGTAGATTTAAATTTAGGATTACTGCCATTTGATGTTAGCTTGCTGTTTTGTCTCTACTAAAAATAGGAAAATTAGCTGGACGTGGTGGTAGATGCTTGTGGTCCTAGCTAAGGCAGAAGAAACACTTGAACTCAGGAGGTGGAGGTTGCAATGAGCCAAGATCACACAACTGCACTGGGTGACAAAGTGAGGCTTCGTCTCAAAAAAACAAAAGGATCAAGGTTATGAAAGTTTAGAATGAATTCATGTATGGCTGATTTGAAATTATTGATTTAAGATTAATAGGAAATAGCAGACAGCTGGTAGTTTGAGTACGTATCCCTGTTTCCCTTTCCTTCCGTTTCTTCTGGAATAATTCAATAAGCAAGACAGTTGGGTACATCTTTGCTTACAGGTTTCCATAGGTCTCCAAGGAGATGACAGGTACAAGGCTACAATGCTTCCTTTCCCTTTTTTCCCTGCCCAGAACTGAAGGACTAGCTGAGAAGAGGGGTTGCCTATCTTCAGAGCCAGAGGATGAAGACCACAATTTGATGATTTTCTGTAGAGTTTCTCAGGTCAAAAAAAGACATGTGTCTATACATGTCCTTATAAAAGTTGCTGGATTTTAAGGATAAGGAGAAAATCTTGCAAGTTTATAAACCGAAAAAACTACCAGAGAAAGCTAACAAGAATAGGATCTGATTTTTAATCTACTGCACTAGATAATAATAATATATAATGACAAGAGAAAACATCTTACCCAGTACTCTTCTTATGTCAGACACTTTTATTATATTTATGAAATACTTCTAAAAATTGATTATGTAGGAAACCTTACATTATTTGTGGCCATAACCTGATAAAAGTATGGATATAAATACTGAAAAAAAAAAAAAAAAACCAAAAAACCCAATTGTATCTTTTCTCCACCCCGTTGAGCAAGAAAAGCAAAATAGAGGAGTGTTTACAAAGTCCCATTTTGGTAAGCATAATGAATATGTATATGACTATATATATAGGACTATATGAACACAGAGAAATACATAATAGGCTTGTGGGGTAAGTGCTAAAGTGAAGACGTGTGGTTAGTGATGGAGAGCCAAAGAAAGAAAAGACTGCATTTCAGAAAAGGCAACGTTTCATTTACATAGTAGTGTTATGTGTTGAGTCTGTATATTGGTATATGAAAAGATTACAGATATAAATAACCAGAACAATACAAGAAGTAGAAATCCTTAGCAGACCAGTAGCCATGGCAGAAATTATAAAAGCATAACAAATCTGTCTTTAAAAATTATACCTGGGGCTGGGCATGGTAGCTCATGCCTATAATCCCAGCATTTTGGGAGGTTGAAGCAGGTGGATCACCTGAGGCTAGGAGTTTGAGACCAGTCTGGCCAACATGGTGAAACCCCATCTCTACTAAAAATACAAAAAATCAGCCAGGCATGGTGGTAGGCACCGGTGATGCCAGCTACTACGGAGGCTGAGGCAGGAAAATCACTTGAACACAGGAGGTGGAGTTTGCAGTGAGCCAAGATCATGCCACTGCACTCCAGCCTGGGCCACAGAGCAAGATTCCATGTAAAAAAAAAAAAAAATCTGAATTCTTGTCTAACCTTTAAAGAACTGGTAATTCACAGACCGGGCGTGGTGACTCATGCCTGTAATTTTAGTACTTTAGGAGGCCGAGGTGGGCAGATCATTTGAGTTTGGGAGTTTGAAACTAGCCTGACCAGCATGGAGAAACCTCATCTCTTCTAAAAATACAAAAATTAGCCGGGTGTGGTGGTGGCACATGCCTGTAATCCCAGCTACTCAGTAAGCTGAGACAGGAGAATTGCTTGAACTTTGGAGATAGAGGTTGTGGGTGAGCCAAGATTGTGCCATTGCACTCCAGCGTTGGCAACAAGAGCAAAACTCCATCTCAAAAAAAAGAAAAAGAACTGTTAATTCCAATTTAAACTATTCTAGATAATAGAAAAAGATAGCTTCCAAATATATCTTATGAAACTAGCACAACCTTAACAATGAAACTTCATCATTACAAGAAAAGAAAGCTGATGACTAGTTTCCCTCATGAATACAGATGAAAAAGTTTTAAATAATAAACTATACCTAGTGGTATATTAAAAGAATAAGATTTTTCCAGCAGAAAGATAAGAGAGCAGTTTTTAAATTAAAAATAAAAATAAAAGAATAACCTGTAGGAATAACCTATTTTAATATACCTAGTGATGTATTAAAACAATAACCTAATAGTGAACCCATCCTGCATGGGTTCAATATTAGGAAATCTTTCCAGATAATTGGTTTCATCACATATGAATGAAAAATATTAATAGGTAAAAGAAATATAAAGTCTAGCTATCATTTCTTACTAGAAGGTCTTAAAGTATAAAAAGGACTTTAATTTTCCATATGTGGTAGGAAGGCTTATTCCTTTTGCTTGAGGACAACTGAGTGTGCTAAATAAAATATTAAAAGTAACCCAAAAGCATCGAAAGAGCTAATAGATTAGAAGAAATTGCCAGACCTAAACCTAAGGCAATGTGGGGTGCTAGTTCTGTCCTTAAGGCATTTTTTCATTTGGGTAAACCTGAATTTTAATTTTGAGTCTGTAAGGAGGCATAGGGGACAAAAATCAAAGACTATTTAAAAAGTTTAAGGTGTCACTTCCTATATAGGAGACCTTTTCTACATAAAATAGCAGGCACCTTAAATCACTGTATACCTAGGAAACAGGGATATCTGGTCACTAGGATAAGAATGAGCAGAAGTAAATTTGTAGCCCAAATTCACATCACTCTGTGAAATCAGTGAAAATTCATTTAAAGTAATCGGTACTTAAGGGGCATAGAAAAAAGAGGCAGTTACTTCCTGAAAGAAGGAACGTTCATTCTGGTTCTCAAATAATTCCCCCAATAATTTTTCAAGGACAGAGGGCATTAATTGAAAGCCAATAGAAACCGATCTACAGTGAATTCACCTACTTCAAACATCATGCTTAAAGGTGAAACTTGGAGCACTTTTCTGCTGATACCTAGAATAAACTAGGATGATCACTATTACCACATCTATTCACTATTGTTCTATAGGCTAAGTCAGCAGAAAAGGCAAAAAGAAAAAAGTTTCAGAATAGGAAAAGAACAAGTAACATTATCAATATTTGCAGTCAAAATGATTATATTGATAGAAAATCCCAAAGCATCTTAGATAATTGTTAGAATTAAGACTTGAGCAGGGCATGATGGCTCATGCCTGTAATCCCAGCACTTGCAAGGTCAAAACGGGTGGATCACGAGACCGGTGTGGTCAAGATGGTGAAACACTGTCTCTACTAAAAATACAAAAATTAGTCGGGCGTGGTGGTGGACACCTGTAATCTCAGCTACTTGGGAGGCTGAGGCAGGGAATTGCTTGAACCCAGGAGGTGGAGGTTGCAGTGAGCTGAGATTACGCCACTGCACTCCAGCCTGGGCAGCAGAGTGAGACTGTCTCAAAAAAAAAAAAAATACTGAATAGATTGAAATGTTACAAAAAATATATATAATCAAGTATGTTTTTAAATACTAAAATCAAACAGCTTGAAAAGCTTTTAAAAATATACATTAACACTGAACCACCCAGACATACTAATGAATTGCAATATGTAAAGCTGCTTTTTTTTTTTCTCTCTCTCTCTCTTCAACAGAAATTCAAAGGAGTAAAGCTGCTTTTGGATTCTGTTTGAGAGGAAGGGGGAAAAAGGTCTAATAAAATAATTTATTATTGATTTGTTGACAGAATTTTGAACATGACTCCATGTTTGATTTTAAATAACTTTGTTTTGAAGATATGATAATATTGCTGTTGTAGTTAAGTCTTATTTTTTAGAAATGCATACTGAAATATTTTTTTAAATGATAGGTTCCTGGCATTTGCGTCAACAAAATACATGAAACTGTGCATTATATTTGGGTGGATTGGCTATGGCTTGGTTTGGGGGCTGGGTGGTGGATATGGGGGTTTATTCTACTGTTTTTGAACATGTTTGAAAAGCTCCAAAATAAAAATTTAAAGAAAAAAGTACCACTGAAATAATCATAGTAATACTAAAGAAGTATCAGTCTTGGCTGGGCGTGGTGGCTCACACCTGTAATCCCAGCACTTTGGGAGGCTGAGGCAGGTTGACCATGAGGTAAGGTGTTTGAGATGAGCCTGGCCAATATGGTGAAACCCCGTCTCTACTAAAAATAAAAAAATTAGCTGGGTGTGGTGGTACGAGCCTATAGTCCCAAGTGCTTGGGAGGCTGAGGCTGGAGAATCACTTGAACCCTGAAGGCAGAGGTTGCAGTGACCGAGATTGCATCATTGTACTCCAGCCTGGGTGACAGAGCGGGACTCAGTCTCAAAAAGAAAAAAAACAGAGAAAGAAAGAAAGAAGTTAAGTGTCAGTCTTAACAAAAATGCTTTAAGACCACTGCATAGAATACCAAAGCATTATCGAGAGAGTTTAAAGAAAACTTACTTCATTATTTATTTTTTGAGATGGAGTTTCGCTCTTGTTACCTAGGCTGGAGTGCAATGGTGTGATCTTGGCTCACTGCAAACTCCACCTCCCAGCTTCAAGTGATTCTCCTGCCTCTCCCTAGTAGCTGGGATTACTGGTGCCTGCCACCATGCCCAGCTAATTTTTTGTATTTTTAGTAGAGACGGGCTCGTCTCAAACTCTTGGCCTTCTCTACCCACCTTGGCCTCCCAAAGTGCTAGGATTATAGACATGAGCCACTGCACCCAACCACAAAAAAACTTATTTAAATGAGAGATTTTATGTGAAAAATCCAGTTTTGTAAAAGCCCTTAGTTCTCTAAAGTGGCACATAGAATAGAATTAGTATAATCTCAGATAGAAACAGTGTTCCCAAATAAATTTTCAGTAGATTTTTGGTGTAACTTGAGAAGATGAAATTTGACGTTTTCTACAGCCATAGAAAGCAAACTACTGATAATTGTTTCTATAAAATTTTACTGGAACACAACCATGCCTATTTGTTCATCTATATTGTCTTTGGCTATTTTGTGCAGAGACCATGGCCCACAAACCTAAAACATTCACTTCCTGGCTCTTTAAGAAATAATTGACCCACTGACACCTTGGTCTAAGGTGTAGATGAAGTATTTCTCAGAGTATGAGCTGAATCAGCTAAGCAATAGCAGCATGACTTAGATAATTGTTAGAAATGGAGATTCACAGACTGTACACTAGACCTACTGAATCAGGATTTGTGTGTGTAGGACTCAGCAGTCTATTTTACCATGCCCTCCAGATGATTCTGATGCACACTGTAATTAGAGAACCACTGTTCTGTAGTTGTGAAAGAACAGCTGGGCAAAGTAGTTTCTTCAATTATTAGGAATTATTATAAAGCTACAGTAATGAAGACATTTTTTGCTAGCATAGTCAAATAAGCTAATGAAATAGAATATAAAACCTTGAAGTAAGCCAACGCATTTTCTATGAGTATAGTCATTTGCCATATAATAACATTTTGACCAACATACCACATATACAACAGTGGTCTTACAAGTTTATAATACCATATTTTTACTACATCTTTTCTGTGTTTAGATATACAAATACAGAAGTTAGAGGGACCAACCCTTTTTACAGCTGAAAATAGACAAATATATGACTCCCTCAGAACTACTAATAGATTACTGTTAACCAATAACATAGTCAATTAATACATATTTTGTATGTGTAGTATATACTGTAGTCTTAGAATGATGTAAGCTAGAGAAAGTGTTATTTAAAAAATCATAAAATACATTAAGTATAAGTAGATCATCATAAAGATCTGCATCCCTATGGTTTTCACGTGTTGTAGGCTGAGGAAGAGGAGGAGTTGGTCTTGTTGTCTCTGTGGAGGAGAATCAGGCACACTTTATGCAACTTTTATTGAAAAAGAAATGTGGGCAGGGCATGGTGGCTCATACCTGCAATTCTAGCACTTTGGGAAGCTGAGGCAGGCAGATTCCTTGAGGTCAAGAATTCAAGCAGCCGGGTGCGGTAGCTCACGCCTGTGATCCCAGCACTTTGGGAGGCCGAGGCGGGTGGATCATGAGGTCAAGAGATTGAGACCATCCTGGTCAACACGGTAAAATCCTGCCTCTACCAAAAATACAAAAAATTACCTGGGCATGGTGGTGTGTGCCTGTAATCCCAGCTACTCAGGAGGCTGAGGCAGGAGAATCGCCTGAACCCAGGAGGCGGAGGTTGCGGTGAGCCGAAATCGCGCAATTGCACTCCAGCCTGGGTAACAAGAGCAAAACTCCGTCTCAAAAAAAAAAGTTCAAGCCAACCTGGCCAAAATGGTGACATCCTCTCTCTACTAAAAAAACAAAAATAGCTGGATATTGTAGCAGGTGCCTATAATTCCAGCTACTCAGGAGTCTGAGGCAGGAGAAATGCTTGAACCCAGGAGGCAGAGGTTGCAGTGAGCCAAGATAGCTCCATTGCACTCCAGCCTCGGTGACAGAGTAAGACTCTGTCTCAAAAAAAAACAACAACAACAACAAAAAAAGAATTTGTATATAAGTAGATCTGTACAGTTCAAACTCATGTTGTTCAAGGGCTAACTATACTTACTATTGTGTTATAATTACCTACAGGGTTCAGTATAGCAACAGCAACATGCTGTACAGGTTTGTAGCTAGGGTCAATAGGCTGTAACATATAAGCCTAGGAGTATAGAGGCTCTGCCATCTAAGTTCGTATAAGTACACTCTATGATGTCAGCACAACAATGAAAACACCTGCCACATTTCTCAGAATGTGTCCCTGTTGTTAAGTGATGCATGAGTAGATATACATGGCATATGACTTGATAAATGAATGTAGGTGATTTGGAACAAGACAGAATTGCTAATAACTGATCCTGCCTGGGACAGTTGGGTGACCAAATGAAAACATGAAATTTGATTCATTACTTCATACCATTTTCAGGAGTCAATGCCAGAGAGATTAAAGATTTAAATGTTAAAGGCAAAACTATAAATTTTTAAGAACGTAACATAGGAATAGCTTCATGATCTTCAGTAGGGAAGGCTTTCTTAAGACAGAAAAGGCACCAACTAATGATGAATTAAACTCAAATATATTATCAGAAATAGACATAAACATATATTGGTCATTTACTTTTTGACAAAAATGCCAAAGAATTCAAGGAGGGAAGAGATTTTTTTTTTTTTTCTTAAAGATGGAGACTCACTCTGTCACCCGGGCTGGAGTGCAGTGGTGCAATCTTGGCTCGCTGCAACCCACCTCCTGAGTTTGAGCAATTTTCCTGCCTCAGCCTCCCAAGTAGCTGGGATTACAAGTGCATGCCATGGTGTCTAGCTAAAGTTTTTTTGTAATTTTAGTAGAGATGGGATTTCACCATGTTGGCTGGGCTTGTCTCAAAATACTGACCTCAAGTGATCAGCCTGCCTCTGACTTCCACAATGTGTTGGGATTACAGGCACCCGCCACCACACCCGGCGAATTTTTTTATTTTTAGTAGAGATGGGGTTTCACCGTGTTGGCCAGGCTGGTCTCATCCTTCTGATGAGCTGATCTACCTACCTTGGGCCTCCCAAAGTGCTGAAATTACAGGCATGAGCCACTGTGCCTGGCCAAACTAATATCACATGTTTTTCAGTTGTTCTTATGTTGGCAAAAGAAAACAACTTGACCGTCTGTTGGTATACCGTATAATAGGACTATGTTAAGCGAATGTTTCCTGAAATGTCTGGCTAGTATCAAAAAGAACAAGTTGCCTTTAACTCCCTTGAATACATACCTGCAATGTAGTATTAAATGGAAAAACAAAGTTACAGGATATTATGATCTCATTTCTTTTAAGAAAACAAAAACATGTCAATTTATGTGTAATTGTGCGGAAAGAGTAGAAGGATGGGTTATCAGCATTGTTTGCCTCTGACTTTTAGGTAGGGTGGGAATAAGATTGGCTAGAAGGGAAAGGAGACTTTAATACTACTTTGCATTGTTTTGCTAGTTGTAATGAAAGTTTGAGTGTGACCAAATAATGGAAGATACAAGCTTTCATGTTTCCAGAAATTTTCTTTTTAAGAAAGTACTCTGCCTTATAAGGGTTAATGTAGTAATCCATTATTTCCCTGGGCTTTTCAAGTCATTTGAGGGAGGAGTTTAGCCCCAGTTTTGTGGGAATAGTACATACTCTTGAAATAGTCAGCTCTCCCATAAAAAGACAATGAATTTTCTGGTTAAAACTATTGGAGAGTACATTGTGAAAATCCAGGTAGCCCAGAGAGGAGCCAGTAAATGACCAAATGTTGATTTTGAATAGTTAACATTTTTATCTAAACAGCTAAAGTTCATTTGTATTTTCTTTAAAGCTCCATCAAGGAACAGTCCCTGTTTCTTACACAGTAACAACAGTGGCACCGCATGGGATTCCACTCTGCACAGGCCAGCACATCCCTGCTTGTAGTACACAGCAGGTCCCAGGATGCTCTGTGGTTTTCAGTGGACAGCACCTCCCTGTCTGTAGTGTACCTCCTCCAGTAAGTCTGTGTCTTTGTTCTCATTAGATATTACTATTAAGCACACCAGCCTGAATTTGGTTTTGTAACTTACTGACTCTGGAAGCCCTCTTTAAAGGAGCTAACTGCATTATATAAGCAAATGAAATTTAAGAGACTCCTTTTGTAGTTTCACTAAAGTAAAAAGGCCAATTTTATTGCAATAAAAATCTCAGCAACCATTTAATAAAATTAGCTTTAAAACATGATATATTTTTACATTGATTATACATATTTGAATATGCTGAAGGTCAAACCATGTTTTCTCATATATCAAGACCATTTATAGTTAAAGCCAATGAAGGTCAGCCTAAGTCTCAGAGACCTTAGTGTTCACCACTTACTGGGTTTTAATGGGCACTTTGAGTGCTTGGTCTTATTCCTTACTATAGGAAGACTGATGAAAATACCATCAGCTGCCATTTTCTCATCACTGAATCTGAAAAATTAAATGGCTTGCTTAGTGTCATAGAGATAGCTAGAATGGGAGAGCAGAGATTCATACCCACTTTTTTCTTGCCTCTGAAGCTTATGCTTTGTCCTTTAATGTCAGGTCAGTCTCCTTTCAGAAATGAGGGTGCTGTATTTAAATGATTTATCTAAGGTCAACAATGTCTTCAAAGGAAAGCACTTAGCAAAACTTAAATATAACTCTTAATACCTTGCTCTGAATGTGACATTAAAACACACACACACACACCCACACACACACACCATACTAATTTAACAGATTTAAACACAGCCACCCACCCAGTACTAATTTAACAGATTAATTTACCCAAGCTTGGTGTTTCAAGTGATAGAAACATTGTACCAAATTTAAGAATTAACATTCTGAGAGATCATAAGGCAATTAGTTGACAGTTGTGTTCTTATAAAAATCCTAGAAAGAAGAATATTTCTACAGGATTGAAAAGGGGAGTTTCTTGAAGTATCAGTAGTGTTTACTTCTTAAACCAACTAGAGAGAGGTTCCTTTTCTATGCAGGACTTAACGCCTGCACCCTGTTTCATAGATGTTTAAAAGGCTAAAATAAAGTGTTTCAACCAGTTTGTAAAAATTGTATAAAATACAGAATAATTATTATCAATACTTTACCAGTAGATATACTAGTAGTTCATTGTTAATATAAGTTATTAAAACATTTGTATGATTTTGGGAGAGGTGTGACAATGACAGATGTGAATCTCACTACTGTAATGGTTTCTCTTACAGATGCTTCAGGCATGTTCAGTTCAGCACTTACCAGTACCATATGCTGCATTCCCACCCCTTATTTCTAGTGATCCATTTCTTATACATCCTCCTCACCTTTCTCCCCATCATCCTCCTCATTTGCCACCACCAGGCCAGTTTGTCCCTTTCCAGACGCAACAATCACGATCGGTAGGTATCTCTACTATTATGTCAGAAGGCTTAATTTTTAATTAATTTTTAATTTTTTCAGAATGTTTAGACCAGGCAGATAACCTTAGTGGATGTAAGAACCAGAAGAATGCCTAAGTTACTATGTTTAAATGGCAATGTGCCATTTAACTTGGCCAGGTGCAGTGGCTCACGCCTGTAATTCCAACACTTTGGGAGGCTGAAGCGAGCAGATCACCTTGGGTCCGGAGTTCAAGACCAGCCTGGCCAACATGGTGAAATTTTGTCTCTACTAAAAATAAAAAAATTAGCCGGGCATGGTGGCCCATGCCTGTAATCCCAGATACTGAGGAGGCTGAGGCAAGAGAATCACTTGAACCTGGGAGGCAGAGGTTGCAGAGCCAAGATCATCATGCCACTGCACTCCAGCCGGTGGGACAGAGCGAGACTCTGTCTCCAAAAAAAAAAAATAAACAAACATAATAACTTGGGCATTCTTCTGGTTCTTAAAGGAATCCAAACATATACAAATTAGTTAAGACGTTTACCTTAAATTTCGGGTTTTTAAAATTTTTCTAGTTATTTTAGTGTCACATTTGTTTTCTATCACATCTGGAATCCTTCAGGAAGTAAATCTGAAGAAAAGTTTTTAGTTGTACTGTTTTTTTCTTTTTATGTGGTTCTAAATTGGAAAATGAAAATATTATAAAATTGTTAATACTTGTTAGAATAATATTTGTATTCATTTAGGTAAGTAAATTAACCCTTCTGAATTTCAGTTACTTTTTCTGAAGGCCTGGTTTTCCACTATTGTGATGAAAAGCAGATGAGGTAGTCTATTAACGTAGCTAAATCTGTCTTGGGACCGTGATATAGTTGAGAGGCATATTATTTTAAGAGACTGGGAGAGGTAAGTATTACATAAGTACAAAGAAGGGCACAGGAAAAAAAGGTCCAGTTGTTTGAATAGGCTGGGTTTAGCATTGGAACCATCAGACATTAAGGAGAAACAGAGATAACCTATGGAAATGGCTAGAGTGGAAGATTTCAGCTCTATGGAAAGAACTGGACAGTTTATTATAGCAGAGTCTTTCCATTGTTTACTAAGGATTTCTGTACCATGCTGGGTACCAAAGAGGCTGCTGTCCTGAAAACTATAGAAGCAATCATAACACAAGTCTGGCTCATCATAAAAGTTAGAATTGCTTCTGCAAGAGAATCTTTTCTTGGAATTAGGATTGGATTTGTGCCAGGAAGTTCTCCTCAGCTTCCAGTATCTGGGAATTCAGGGTTAAAGCAAAATTTAGCTATCACTGGTATCTAAATTTGGAATTCTTTTAAAGGTCCACTCACATAGCCATATCATGACTTCATTTTCACTAGTGTTGTCATAGTGTAAGCAGTTGTGATTTCTCTCAAGCATGCATAGGCTTCCAGATTAAAGCTTAGTATTTACTTACATTTGAATAACATGTTGCTATTCTGTAACTAAGGGAGGAAGTCAGACTAACATTTAAAAATACATGTGCCCAAGAGAATTCAATTGAAAACATCACAAAATGTGTACACAAATGTAGTAGTAGCATTATTCCTAATAGTCAAAAAGTAGACAATCCAAATGTCTATCAACTCATAAATGAATGAGCAGAGTGGTATCCATTGCAGTATAATACCCATAAAAAGGAGTGAAGCATTGATAAAGTCCACAAATTGAATGAGTTTTGAAAGCAACATCCTAAGCAAAGAAGGTAACACAACTTCTTGCTTGTTCCATTTAAATGAACTGGTTCCATTTACATGAAATGTGTAGAATAAGCATACATAAAAAATGGTAAGCTGATGGCTTGGGGAAATGGAGATTGACTGATAATGGGCATACAGTTTCTTTTTGGGGTGATAAAAATGTTCTGGAATTAGATAATGGTTACATAATTGTGAATATACCAAAAATCTGTTTAGTTGCATTCCTTTATCATATGTCAGTTATATCTCAATGAACCGGTTTTCGTTTTCTTGTGGTTTTTGTTTTCAGACAGAGTCTCCCTCTCGTTCCCCAGGCTGGAGTGCAGTGGTGTGATCTTAGCTCATTGCAGCCTCTGCCTCCCGGGTTCAAGTGATTCTCCTGCCTCATCTCCTCAGTAGCTGGGATTATAGGTGCCTGCTATGACATCTGGCCAATTTTTGTATTTTTAATAGAGATAGGGTTTCACCATGTTGGCCAGGCTGGTCTCAAACTCTTGACTTAAGGTGATCCACCCACCCCAGCCTCCCAAAGTGCTAGGATTACAAGCATGTACCTCCACCACCAGCTGAACTGTTATTTTAAAAACTACGTATCCTCTGTGTGCTTTGTATAGCACTACATTGCCTCAGTGTTCACCATACACTTTTGAATTAGGCTATGAACATGCCAGTTTTATGGATGATAGTACTGATGTTCAGATTAGGTAATTTATCTAAAAGTTACATGGCTTATTGGTGACACTACCAAGATTCTGCCGAATGTCCAAAAGCCCACAGTCTTTTTGCACAGCATTATGCTTTCTGTACCATGTCTCATTTAGCCCCATTTCTGATTTATAAATGCACTTCATGTTTTGTTTCATCTGTGAAATGTTAAGTGTCTGAAAATTTTTTAGGTCAGGGTGCTATGGCTGAAAAAGTAATTTTAATTTTCCTATCATTGGCTTACTTGATTACTTTTTTTTTTTTGTCTTCTTATTTTAAGAGAAGGTTCAAGTAGTAAAATAAATGGAGAATAATGGAATTGTTTAATAACATGTTTTAAACCTTACTGAAATTAAACATAGGAAGATTTTACTGTAGTCTATATGTTTACTTGTATGAGTTTTAGATTCATGTGAGCATCAAGAGATGCATAGCCTTAGAGACATTTGGGGGTTTTAAATTTGTGCTTATTGTACAGCGTCATCTATCTAAACACAGAAAATACATATATATTTTTTCTCCTCAGCCCCTGCAAAGGATAGAAAATGAAGTGGAACTCTTAGGAGAACATCTTCCAGTAGGAGGTTTTACTTACCCTCCATCAGCCCACCCTGCAACATTACCTCCATCAGCTCCTTTGCAGTTTTTAACACATGATCCTTTGCACCAGGAGGTGTCCTTTGGAGTAGTAAGTTTTCATACATTGTTATGTTAATTATTTGTGTTGGCAACGTATTTATTCTGAGTTATGTTTCAGTATAACTCACTGTATTTAGAATTAAATGTATTCTCAATAGCATTCAGTTGGAAAATTGTATTTAGAAATACACCTAAGTGTAAGGTTTAAAATGGTTGCTGCATTAATAAGTTAGAATTTAAGACATACTAAAAACCTTGAACAGTAAAGAAGTTTACTGTTTTTATAAAAATTAGATGCTTAATTTGATAGATTATTTGTAAATGTGGAGTCCTAAATTTTTTTAACATTTTTTCCCTGCAGCCTTATCCTCCATTTATGCCTCGTAGGCTCACAGGACGTAGTAGATACCGATCCCAGCAGCCAATACCACCTCCCCCGTATCATCCCAGCTTACTGCCATATGTGTTGTAAGTTTTTTCTTACCTTAATGATTTCTAAATTTTGAAACTCTTGAGATTATCTTTCCTTTATGAATGTCGTCTTTGTGGTCTAGCTGGGGTGTGTCAGCTATTTGTTTTGACTTAATGTTAAAGGGTGGGATGAGCGGAGCCAGTTAAAGGTGAAAGAAGGAGAACAGTATCATTGGAGAAATGGGGAAGGAAGAAATCTGTGAGCCAAAAAATAGGTTTAACAAATCAAGAAGCAAGGTTAAGATTTTTGCCTCTTTTACAACTGCTGTTACTTACCACCAGTCTTGAGTATTCAGCTTTTGGTCCTGTTTTTCTTGGGGGGAAAAGGAAAAAAATTATTTCTATGTCTTAGAACTACTCTGTTTGGATTAAGTTGGTCTATAAGAGAAATACCATAGGTGGTAAACATGGTAGCTTTGTTTTGGGACAGAGTCTCAGTCCGTTGCGCAGGCTGGAGTGCAATGGTGCAATAACCTCCGGCTCCCAGGTTCCAGCAATTTTCCTGCCTCCACCTCCCAAGTAGCTGGAATTGCAGGCATGTACCACCATGTCCAGCTAATTTTTGTACTTGTAGTAGAGACGGGGTTTCACCATATTGGCCAGGCTGGTCACGATCTCCTGACCTCAGGGAATTGCCATCTTGCTCTCCCAAAGTGCTGGGATTACAGGTGTGGAGCCATCACGTGCAGTTGGTAGTTCTTTATTTCTCTCTCATATAATAAAGTCTAGAAGTAGGTAACTCGATGATTTGTTAGCCCTGTGACTATGAACATTGTTAATGACTTCCTATTCATGATCTAAGATGGCCTCTCAGGCTCTAGTCACACATCCACATTCCACCTAGCAAAAATAAAAATGGATTCCTCTGCCTACCTGCTCCTCTCAAAGTTATGTCCCAGAAGTTGCACGTATAACCTTGCCTCTGTATCACATTGGCCATAACTTAGTCACATGTCTATAATTTCTAGGAAAGCTAGGGAGTACAGTCTTTATACTAGAAGACCACATGCCTGTATTACCATACTGTTGTAGTTTTTCCTTCCTTCTTCCTCCTTCCCCTCCTTTTCTCTATTTATCTTTCTGTCTTAATGTCAGATATATGTCTCCGAATTTTGTTCTTAAAATGTTTTAATTTAAGGTCTTTTGCATTTCCTTATAAATTTTAAAATCAACATGTGAGTTTTTACTTAAAAAGTGCTTGCTGCAATCTTGGTAGGTATTGCATGAAATTTACAGATTATTTTAAAGAGAAAGTGACATCTTAATGATACTGAGCCTGTTAGTCTTATGTGGTATATTTCTGTTTATTGACTTTTAAGTTATCCTAGCAGTATATCTGCAGTTTTTATTGTATAGTTCTTGCATATGTTTGGTTAAATTACCATTCTTCATCCTTATAGCACTGGCCTCTGTCCTCCCTGTCCTCTTCATTGAATTAATGTACTCATATTATCAATGCTTGTGTGATTGTTTTCACTGCAGATCAATGCTTCCAGTGCCACCTGCAGTGGGCCCAACTTTCAGCTTTGAATTAGATGTAGAAGATGGAGAAGTAGAAAATTATGAGGTTAGTAGATGAATTGTAAATTCATTTGGGGAGTATTGTGTGCGTGAAAGTGTTATTCTACTTAACTCTTTAAATCACAGGCGTCCAATCTTTTGACTTCCTGGGCCACATTGGAAAAAGAATTATTGTCTTGGGCCACACATAAGATACACTAACAGTAGCCAATAAGCTTTTTAAAAATTGCAAAAAAAATTTTATTAAAGTTTATGAATTCGTGTTGGGCTATATTCAAAGCCATCCTGGGCCGCATATGGGCCATATGTTTGACAAGCTTGATCTAAATATATATTAGGTAAACACTTAGTACATTTCAAGATACAAACATGTCATAAAAACGTTTAACATCTTTAATTATATTTGAATGTGTACTACCACTTACCCATGATAATAGGTAGGTAGAGTGGTGCTCTGTTAGAATTACATACAATTCCAGTGAGAGAATGCAAATGAGAAAACAGCGAATTTTGATTAGGTGTGCTGAAAGGATTTTGTGGAAGCCAAAATGTTTGTGCTAGATCATAAATAATGTAGAAGCTTTTTCATGTGTAAGATTTAGGCAGAGAAGTGCTGGACATTCTTGAGATCCAACATACCATCTGGTTAAAGTGAAAGGGAGAAAATGAGCATTTGATTGAAAAACTCTCTTGGTTGTCCTTGATCGCTTGTTACAGAGTGGACATAATTTTGAATATTGTGGGGGAGGAAGGAATCACTAAATGTTTTCATTGCTTTATGGCATCAGTGCTCTTAAATATGAGTCAAAACTGCCAGTACTGTGATGTAATTGATGGGAGTGGTTAGAAAATGGTGACAGGGAAGCCTGTTTAGTTGTAATAGGTCAGGCAATAAATTATAAAACCATACGTGTTCTGAACTTTAGGAACTGTGACTAGGAAGGAATACCACAGACAACCAGTTTTTGACAAGGCCATCAGGAAGACACAGTGGGGAAAGGATAGCCTCTTTAAGAAATGGTGTTGGGAAAACTGGATATCCACCAGCCAAAGAATGAAACTGGACCTTTATATTACACATGAAAGTTAACTCAAAATGGATTCAAGACCTAAATTTAAGACCTGAAATGATAAAAGTGCTGAAAGAAAACAGGGGAAATGCACCTTGATATTGGCTTGGCATTGGTTTTTCGGCCATCACACCACAAGCTTAGGCAACAAAAGCTGAAATAAATATCTGGCACTACGTTGAACTAAAAAGCTTCTTTACCACAAAAGAAAGAAGGAATGAAATGAAGGGTAGCCTACAGGTTGAGACAACATATGAAAAGTATATATCTGATAAAGGGTTAATATTTTAAAAATATATAAGGAACTTACACAACTCAATAACAAAAAAAAAGGGTGAAGGCCCTGAATAGACATTTCTCAAAGAAGACACAAAATGGCCAACTAGGTACATGAAAAGGTACTCAACATTACAGTCATCAGGGAAATGTAAATCAAAGCTACAATAAAATACCACTTCACAACTGTTAGGATGGCTGTTAACAAAAAGATAAGTATTGACAAGAACATAGAGAAAAGGGAATGCTTTTACCATGGACTGCAGAGTGAATGTTGTGTTAGCAGGCATGCTCTCCCCATGCTCTATAAAAAAAACAATAAAGCCTGGATGACAGTACACCTTGGTTTACTGAATATTTTAAGACCACTTTTAAGGACTACTGTTCAAGAAAAAAAGGATTCCTTTCAAAATATTACAGCTCATCTGCTCTGATGAAGTATACAAAGAGACAAATATTGTTTTTAGCATAATTTCATAAGGGCCCTCAGAATGACAAGTGAGCCTTGGCTTCAACCTACAGTCACCAGCTGTATTAGCCCCTAACAAAAGATTCAGCTTGTTCTTTGAAGCCAGATATTGACTTCTCTTTTTAGCTATGAAAACCTTAGAGGCCTCTTTCAATATAGTGCTGTTCCATTTACATTGAAAATCTATTCTTTATTCCCTTTCATTATGTCTTCTGGATAACTTGCTACAGCCTCTATATCAGCATTTTGTGCTTCACCTTGTACTTTGTTTTTATAAAGATGGCTTCTTTCCTTAAACTTGATGAACCAGCCTCTGCTAGCTTCCAACTTCTCTTCTGCAGCTTCCTTAATTCTCTCAACCTTTGTAGAATTGAAGAGAGTTAGGGCGTTGTTCTGTATTAGGCTTTGACTAAAGAGAATGTTGTGGCTGGTTGGATCTTCTATCCATATCACTCAGACTTTCTCCGTATCAGCAATATGGTTGTTTTGCTTTCTTAACCATTTGTGCATTCCCTGTAGTGGCTTTTCTTTTTTTCTTTTTTGAGACAGGGTCTTACTCTGTCACCCAGGCTGAGATGCAGTGGCATGATCTCAGTTAACTGCAGCCTTGACCTCCCAGGCTCAAGTGATTCTCCCACCTCAGTCTCCTAAGTAGCTGCTACAGTAGGCGGAACACCACCACACTCAGCTAATTTTTGTGATTTATTTTTGTTTGTTTTTGTTGTTGTTTTGCAGTGATAAGGTTTTGCCATTTTACCCAAGGCTTGTCCAAGTGTTGGGATTACAGGCATGAGCCACTGTGCCCAGCAAGAATGGCACTTTTAACTTCCTATTCAAACCTTGCCTTTGCATTTATAACTTGGTTACGGGTTTGGCACAAGAGGCCTACATTTTAGCCTGTTTTGACTTTGACATGTCTTTCTTTACTAAGCTTAATCATTTCTAGTTTTTAAAGTGAGAGACATGGTACTCTTCCTTTCACTTGAAAATTAGAAGCCATTGTGGAGTTATGAATTGGCATAACTTCAATATTGGTTTGTCTCAGGCGAGGAATACCCAAGGAGAGGGAGAGAGACGGGTGATAGCCAGTCAATGGAGTAGTCAGAATATACAACATTTATCAGTTAAGTTTTCTGTCTTATACAAGTGAAGTTTGTGGTACCACAAAACAACTACAATAGTAATGTCATAGATCACTATAGCAGATACGAATTAATGAAAAAGCTTGAAATAATGAAATGCTTTGAGAATCACCAAAATGTGACACCAAGATATGAAATGACTACATTGCTGTTGGAAAAATTAAATTAATAGATTTGCTCAACATAGGGTGGCCACACATCTTCAATTTTTTGTTTTTTGTTTTAAAAAGGTTGCATCTGGGCCGGGCAGGGTGGTTCATGCCTGTAATCCCAGCACTTTTGGGAGGTCAGGGCAGGCGGGTCACCTGAGGTCAGGAGTTCAAGACCAGCCCGACCAACATGGAGAAACCCTGTCTTTACTAAAAATACAAAATTAATCTGGGCATGGTGATACATGCCTGTAATCCCAGCTATTTGGGAGGCTGAAGCAGGAGAATCGCTTGAACCCAGGAGGTGGAGGTTGCAGTGAGCTGAGACTGCACCATTGCACTCCGGCCTGGGCAACAAGAGCAAAGCTCTATCTAAAAAAAAAAAGGAGCTTTTGTGGCATTCAGTAAAGCAAAGTACAATAAAAAGAAATATGCCCCTGTGTAGTCTTCATACCGTAAGAACTTAACATACTTCCTAGTCATAAAATAGTTAATTCTGTTTTTCTCATGTATCATTATTTGTTAACCATTCTGTAAACCCTGTGGCAACCAGAAAAATGGAGAAAAGCAGTCCACAAAAGACATACTAATTTTGGGATAAACCAAATGAGTTATTAGAGTCATTAAAACTCAGTAGAAAGGAGGTACTGGTGTAAAATCAATAAGCATAATAATTGGCTGGGCACGGTGGATCACTTGAGGTCAGGAGTTCGAGCCCAGCCTAGCCAACATGGCAAAACCAAGTCTCTCCTAAAAACTAAAAATAACAAAAAAAATTAGGCCAATTAGTCAGGCTTGGTTGCACGTGCTTGTAATCCTAGCCACTCAGGAGGCTGAAAAAGGAGAATCACCTGAACCTGGGAGGCAGAGGTTGCTGTGAACCAAGATCATGCCATTGCACTCCAGCCTGGGGGATGAAGCGAGACTGTCTCAAGGCATAATAATTACAGTATATTGAAACACACCAAATATGTTAAAGTTCATGAGTTTTGATAGTGGATACTTCATAAAAGAAGAAAAATTCTTTGGTCTTATCCACCCTTTCTACATAAATTATTCTGAATATTGTTTAGTATGAGGCAGATGCTCAGTATGGAAATTATCTAATAAATGAAGAATGATAAAATTAGAATACTACCATTTTGCCATCCTTAATGAATTAATGGATCTTGACAGTGTTCCATCTTTGGCTGCTAACATAACCACTAGACATGATAGGCTTTATGGTAGAAGTAGTCACATCTTCCTGTTTATAGGACGAGAGGACAAGGAATTTGTTAAACCCCATGGGTCAGGGATGGGAGGTTCATTTAGCAAATTTCAAAGTGGGAATTTCTACAGCTAATTAACTTGGTTTTTTCAAATTTAAGAGTGAAAAAGAAACTTGAGACATATTAAGGCCATGATATGTAATGGATTTGTTTGGGATCCTTATTTGAAGAAACTACTTGTTAAAGTTTTGAAAATAATTGAAACAGAAATCAACAATTGAAGAGACAACCACAGAATGGGAGAAAATATTTGCAAACTACCCATCTAACAAGGGATTGATAACCATAATTTATAAGAAATTAAACAACTCAATTTAAAAAATCTAATCCAGGGAGATCCAAGATGGCCGATTAGCAGCAGCTCAGGATTGCAGCTCCCAGTGAAAGCACAGAGAGTCAGTGGACACCACACTTCCAGACGAGTTTTTGTTGCCCACAGACCAGGAGATTCCCAGCGGAGGAGCCCCATGGGTCGCCAGCTGGTACGGCTGTTTTGCTGGCACCCTGGCACGGTGGTTCTCAGTGCAGAGTGTGCAGGACTGGGTGCCCTTTTGGTTGGCGTTTGGAGCTCCAGGAGGGCAGAGTCGCCCATTCAGCTGATTGAAGTGGGGACTGAGGCAGGGAACCAGACCGGGAGATTCCCAGGCAGAAAAGCGCCATGAATCTCAACGCTGCTGTTTCAGCCGGTGCAGTGGGTCGCCACAGGGGAAATTGCACAGATTCAGGGGCCTTTTCAGCGGGCTACTGGAACGCCTGGGAGAGAGTCGATCATTCAGCTAAAAAAAGAAAAAGAGGAGGAGGCTCTGAGACCGGGAGCCAGGTGATCAGGCTTGGCTGGTCCCACACTCACAGGGAAGCAGCAAGTGGAAGCACTGAAGATTGAGAGTTTCACAGCAAGCACGGCTGAACCCGGGAGGGTCCAGCTCTTTGCGGGAGGGGCATCTGCCAAAGGAAAACTAAGAAACAGAAAAAACTTCATCACCAACAGGCTGGATGTCCACTCAGAGACCCAATCTGAAAGTCAGCAATTACAGAGACGAGAGGTGGGTAAGTCCACAAGGATGGGAAGAAAGGAAACCAGGACAAAAAGGCTGAAAACACCCGAAATCAGAATATCTCTTCTCTTACAGGGTATTGCAGGTCCTCCTTAGCAACAGAACAAGGCCTGATGGACAATGAGTGTGATGAATTGACAGAATCAGGCTTCAGAAGTGGATAATAAGAAACTTCTGTGAGCTAAAAGAACACGTTCTAACCCAATGCAAAGAAACTAAGAACCTTGAAAAAAGGTTTGACGAAATGCTAACCAGAATAGACAATTTAGAGAGGAATATAAGTGAATTAATAGAGTTGAAAACAGTAAGAGAACACGAAGTATGCACAAGTTTTAACAGTCGAATTGATCAAGCAGAAGAAAGGATATCAGAGGTTGAAGACCTACTTAATGAAATAAAAGAAGACAAGAATAGAGAAAAAAGGATAACAAGGAATGAGCAAAGTCTCCAAGAAATATAGGACTGTGTGAAAAGACCTAATCTATGTTTGATAGGTGTACCTGAATGTGACAAAGAGAATTAATCCAAGCTGGAAAATATTCTTCAGGATATCATTCAGGAAAACTTTCCCAACCTAGCAAGGCAGGACAATACTCAACTCCAGGCAATACAGAGAACACCACAAAGATATTCCTCAAGAAGAGCAACCCCAAGGCACATAATCGTTAGATTCACCAGGGTTGAAATGAAGGAGAAAATACTAAGGGAAGCCAGAGAAAAAGGTCAGGTTACCCACAAAGGGAAGCCTGTCAGACTCACAGCAGATCTCTTAGCAGAAACCCTACAAGCCAGAAGAGAGTGGGGGCCAATATTCAACATCCTTAAAGAAAAGAACTTTCAACCCAGAATTTCATATCCAGCCAAAATAAGCTTCATAAGTGAAGGAAAAGTAAATTTTTTTTGCGAACAAGCAAGTACTCAGAGATTTCATCACTGCCAGGCCTACTTTACAAGAGCTTCTGAAAGCAGCATTATACAAAGAAAGGAAAAACTAGCATCAGCCATTCCAAAAACATACCAAAAGGTAAAGAATATCACCATAATGAAGAATTTACATCAACTAATGGGCAACACAACCAGCTACATTAAATGGCAGTATCAAACTCATATATATTAATATCAATCCCAAATTTAAATGGACTAAATGTCCCAATCAAAAGACACAGACAGGCAAATTGGATAAAAAGCCAAAACCCATCGGTATGCTGCATCTAGACCCATCTTGCAAGGAAACACAAAGACTCAAAACAAAGGGATGGAGGAAGATTTACCAACCAAATGGAGAGCAAAAAAAAAAAAAGCAGGAGTTGCAATTCTAGTCTCTGATAAAATAGACTTTAAAGCAACAAAGACCAAAAGAGACAAAGAAGGACATTACATAATGGTAAAAGGATCAATGCAACAAGAAGAACTAACAATCCTAAATATATACGTACCCAATACAGGAGCACCCAGATACGTAAGGCAAGTTCTTAATGAATTACAAAGAGACTTAGACTCCCACATAATAATAGTGGGAGACTTTAACACTACATTGTCAATATTAGACAGATCAACCAGACAGAAAATTAACAAGGATATCCAGGACTTGAACTCAGACCTCGAATAAGTAAACTTAATAAACATTTACAGAACTCTCCACCCCAAATCCACAGAACATACATTTATCTCAGTATGACATCACACCTATTCTAAAAGGGACCATAATATTGGAAGTAAATCACTCCTCAGCAATTGCATAGCATTTCACAGCTTTAAATGAAATATTGGTTGGCTGCTTGTTTGTTAATTTCCTCCCTTATGCCTTCCTGTCTCCAGTGTTAAGCACATTTATTGGCATAAGAGAGGCTTTTAATACCCATTTTTTAGACTGCATTCTAGCCTGGGCAATAGAGCAAGATTCCTGTTCTCTCTCCCTCTTTCTCTTCCTTTCTTTTTTTTTCTTTCCAAAAAAAAGAAAACAATTGAAACAAAAGTCTATCTTTTTAGAGCAGTGACTCTCAACCTGGGGACACTTTGTCCCCCAGGGGATATTTGGGAATGTGTGGACACATTTTTGGTTGTTAAAACTGGGGGATATTACTGGCACCGAAAGAGGGAGGCCAGGAATGCTCCACAAGATCCTGTAATACCCAGGCCAACTCCCCCAACAAAGAATAACCAGCTCACAGGGTCAAAGTCACTAGCTTTGTTTTACAGATGCACTTGATAGTAATAAATGATGTGAGATTTAGGATAGATGGTAATAAGTAAAAGAAGATTGGCCGTGGACTGTTGAGTCTGGGTAATGGACATACCAAATTTATTAATACTATTTTTCTACTTTTGTATGTATTTAGGTTTTTTCATAAGAAACATTTAAAAAATTGTTTTAGTAGGGTTCTGGGTGGTGCACACTTGTAGTTCTAGATACTCAGGAGTCTGAGGCAAGAGTATTGCTTGAGGTCAGGAGTTTGAGGCCATAGTGTACAATGATGATGCCTATGAATAGCCACTATACTCCAGCCCGGGCAACCTAGCAGAACTCCATCTCTTAAAAAAAAAAAAAACAAAAAACGGAATGCATAACATAAAGAAAGATGAAAATATGTCTTCTTTTACCGCCACAGGCCCTGTTAAACCTGGCAGAGCGACTGGGAGAGGCAAAGCCTCGAGGACTGACTAAAGCAGATATTGAACAACTTCCTTCTTATCGGTTCAATCCTAACAACCACCAGTCAGAACAGACTTTGTAAGTGTATTTTTCTGACATCACTCTGCTAAATTTCCTTTTCTACCTTTATGAAATAAAAGCTTAAGAGTCATTAAGGTAAAAGTTGGGAGCGGAAACAAAAAGTTAAAAATGTTTAAGAGTCAGAGATAACTTTGATAAAGATAAGTTATCTCTCATACTCTAAGCCAGTGCTTGCTCAGTAAGTCATGTAGAGCTAATTAAATTAAAAGTTAAATGTCTTAGTCGCACTAGGTAATGGCTGCTGTATCGGGTGGTATGGATGTAGAACATTTCTGTCATTTTAGAAAGCTGTTAGGGCTATTTCGGATTTTTAGGTTGCTTAGAAATTTTGTTTCTAATTCACATTCTAGATTATTTAATACAAGATTGAAAATCCATGCACATAAAATTAGAGGTTCTTAATCTAAAATTTCTGCTTAGTGTGGGATCTTTTTAAAATAGCTTTATTGGGGCCAGGTGTGGTGGCTCAGGTCTGTAATCCCAGCACTTTGGGAGGCCAACGTGGGCAGATCACGAGGTCAAGATTGAGACCATCCTGGCCAACATGGTGAAACCCTGTCTTTATTAAAAATAAAAAAAAATAGCTAGGCGTGGTGGTGTGTGCCTGTCGTCACAGCTACTTGGGAGGCTGAGGCAGGAGAGTCGCTTGAACCTGGGAGGCAGCGGTTGTGGTGAGCCGAGATCGTGCCACTGCACTTCAGCCTGGGCAACAGAGCGAGACTCCATCTCAAAAAAAAAAAATAAATAAAGCTTAAAAGCTTTATTGATATATAATTCACATACCATAAAATTCCACTCATTTAAAATGTACAGTTCAGGCCGGGCATAGTGACTCACATCTGTAATCCCAGCACTTTGGGAGGATGAGGTGGGCAGATTGCCAGCGGTCAGGAGTTTGAGACTAGCCTGGCCAACATGGCAAAACCCTGTCTCTACTAAAAATACAAAACTTAGCTGGGCATGGTGGCAGGCATCCCAGCTTACTCGGGAGGCTGAGGAAGGGAGAATTGCTTGAGCCCAGGAGGGAGAGGTTGCAGTGAGTCAGGATCATGCCACTGCCCTCTAGCTTAGGTGACAGAGTGAGACTCCGTCTCAAAAATAATAATAGTTTTCTAAATGTACCATAAGTGGTTTTTAGTATAGTCATAGAGCTGTATAACCATCACCACAATGAAATTTAGACCGGTTTCATCACCCTAAAATGAAGCCCCTCACCTACTAGCAACACTCTTCATATTTCCACCTCATCCTGGTGCCTCCTCCTCATCCCCAGTCTACACTGTGTCTATATAGATTATACATAAACAGGGTATATATGGTCTTTTTCTGTCTAGCATCTTTCACTTAGCTAACTTTTTCTATATTGTAGCTTTTAGCAGTAAGTCATTTTTTATGGCCAAATAATATTCCATTGCACATTTTGTTTTTTCAATAGCGGCTAGACATTTGGGTTTCCACTTGGTCATTGAATAATGCCAAAGCTAAATAATGGTTTGAATCATGCTGTTGTCTTTTTTTTTTTTTGGGGTGGGGGGGGGCTATAGCCAGTCTAGTGGTTGTCAAGTGGTATTTCCTGGAGATTTGATTTGCCTTTCCCTGATGGGTAATGATCTTGAGCCTCTTTTCATGTGCTGCTTGCTGTTTGTATACTTTCTTTTCAGAAATGTGTATTCGGATCCTTGCTTCATTTTTCCATAAATTGGTTTGTCTTTGTATTATTGAGTTGTAGAAGTTTTATACATATTATAGATCTCATCAGATAAATTATCTTCAAAAAGTCTTTCCTCAGAACAGAAGAATAGAATAATTTAAAAAGTGTAAAATAGTATTTTGCTGTTCTGTGCATTGTTGAGTTTTTCAGTGATGTCCTTTTAAGCACCAAATGTTGAAATTTTGATGTATTTCAACTTACATTCAGCCCTCTGTATTCAGCCAACCAAAGATCAAAAATACTCAGAAAAAAATAGAAAATAACAATAGAGCAATACATAGTACACATAAAGAACAGTAAAGCATAACTATTTACATAGCATTGACATTGTAGTAGGTATTGTAAGTATAGTATAGTGATGACTTTAAAGTATATGGGAGGGTGTACGTAGGTCACAAATACTATACCATTGTATATAAAGGATTTGAACATCTGCAGATTTTGGTATCCATGAGGGATCCTAGAAATAAATCCTCAGATACTGAAGAACAACTGCATTTCCTTTTTGTTGTTAATTCTTGTGCTTTTAATGTCATCTCCAAGAAACCATTGTCTAATCCAAGGTCATGAATATTTACTGTGTTTTCTTCTAAGATGTTAATAGTTTAGCTCTTAACACTTAAGCTTTTGATCCATTTGAGTCCATTTTTTTTTAATATGGTATGAGGTAGGGGTCCATCTTTATTCTTTTTTTTTGTTTTTTTTGGAGATGGAGTCTGGTTCTCTTGCCCAGGCTGGAGTGCAATGGCATGGTCTTGGCTCACTGCAGCCTCCACCTCCTGGGTTCAAGCAATTATGCTACCTAAGCCTCCCATGTAGCTGGGATTACAGGTGCTCACCACCACGCCTGGCTAATTTTTGTATTTTTAATAGAGACGGGGTTTCACCTTGTTAGCCAGGCTGTTCTCGAACTCCTGACCTCCTGATCCTCCCACCGTGGCCTCCCAAAGTGCTGGGATTACATGCGTGAGCCACCACGCCCAGCCCACCTTTATTCTTTTGTATGTGGACATCCAATTATTCCAACACCATTTTTTTTAATAGTATCGAATCTTTGATATTAAGATTGACTTGATGTTAACTAGAAATTTTTGGATTATTTGTCAGTAAAGCAAAACCCTCTTACTGCCTTAACATCATAATTTTTTCAGGGTATTGGTTGATACTTTTGTTTAAAAATTTAAGTGACATTTTGATAATGATAAATGATTTTGTAGGTTTCAGTAGTCAACAATAGAAAACCATCTGGTTTTATGGTTAAATGATCTTTTTGCTTTTTTTAGGTGTGTAGTGTGCATGTGTGATTTTGAGTCAAGGCAGCTACTTAGAGTCTTACCCTGTAACCACGAGTTCCATGCCAAGTGTGTTGACAAATGGCTTAAGGTAAAGTGATAATATCTTTAAAGGAAATGACATTGAATTTTCTATTTTATTGACAATAGGTTAATTAGGGTAAGTTTGTAGCTCAGTGGACAGAAAGGTATAGGAGACAAAATGGAAACACAGCTTTCAATATGATCTCTGTAAATGAGAAGAAAAGGCCAGTAAAAATGAACTGTAGTCAACAACATAGGAGTGATTATACAAAACCCAAGTTGGATGACCTCTTCTTGACAATGAATATGTCCTTTTTCATAGCATATAGGAACAAGGCTTGAACTTGCTAAGCCAGAGTTTCCTTGGAGAGTTTAGAAGGCTACCTAACTAGAGTCTATACATTTAGTGTTTGTATTTAATTTTGACCATTTTCTCCTTTGTGTATATGAACAAAAGCACACAGGACACAAATCCATAAGAGTAGCAGGGTGAAATTATTGCAGGGGCTTCTTTTTTTTAATATATATTTTTTGAAACAGGGTCTCACTCTGTCGCCCAGTCTGGAGTGCAGTGGTACAATCATGGCTCAGTGTAGCCTCGACATCCCAGGCTTCAGCAAGATGGGGTGTCACTGTGTTGTCCAGGCTGGTCTTGAACTCTTGGGCACAAGCAATCCTCCCACCTCAGCCTCCCAAAGTGTTGGGATTATACACTGCACCTGGTTATTTTTTTAATGTTTTGGAAAAAAGGTTTAGAAAAAATGCTTCTTTACTCTTCATAGTTTCATAGTCTCGAATTGTAACAGTAGAATAAAAAGTGATACAGTACAAGAATTTTAATAGGCTGGGTGCAGTGGCTTCATGACTATAAAAAAATTTAGATAGTCAAATTTGTTATTTTTTAAATTAAGTGTTCTGATTTGGATAAAACTAGATAACCTCACAGTTTGGTGAGGGAAGATAGTTCTCTTGAGTGAACACAGTACCAGTGTACCTAGCTTAGCCCAAACTCAACCCTGAAGACAAAGAGTCTTAAATTATTTTAAAAGGAAAGCATTATATGTGCAAATCCCTGACACATTCAGACAGAAAACCACAAGTTCCACGTGGCCGACAGTTGGGATGTGAGTAAGAGTGGGAAAAGAAAAGGTGTTCAGAGATAAAATCACTGACCAGCTTATTGTGAAGCCACTCTGAAGTGTAAAGGAGTTTAGGTGTGATCCTGAAAGCATTCGAGAAGGATATAACTGAGACTGTTTTAGAAGGATTTCTCACTACTGTTGGAGAACGGAATAGAAGAGGTAATTTCTGAGAGACATGGAGATACAATAAAGACATGGTGAGCCAGAGAATGGATAGTGGCAACTGGATGAAAAGAGGGACTGATTTGAGAATTACCATAATGCACAAATACAATTATGTGGTGAATAATGGCTTCTAGGAAGTAGGAGAGCAGGTGATGCTTATATTTCTGGCGTTAGCAACTCCACAAATTATGGTGCCATTTGTTGAAATGGAAAAAGCAAATTTAGGAGCCAGGAAACGGGTGAGTAAGTAGACCTGTGAGTACAGATTCAGTCCAACTGTTTTACAATCATGCTTTCCTCAGTACCACTAAATGTTTCCTGTGACATCCATTAAGAATAGCCAAGGGGCCATGAATGGTGGCTCAGGCCTCTAATTCCAACATTTTGGGAGGTAAAGGCAGGAGGATCATTTGAAGCCTGGAGTTGGAGACCAGCCTGGGCAACTTAGTGAAAGCCCCTGTCTTTTAAGTTGGCTGGGTGTGGTGGCACATACCAGGTAGTCCTAGGTTCTCAGAAGTTAGGCCCAGGAGTTTTAAGTCTGCAGTGAGCTATAATTATACCACTGTGTTCCTGTGGGCAAAAGGGTTTGACCCTGTCTCAAAAAAGGGAAAAAAAATAACTAACCAAGGTTTTACTTTTAAGTCAGTTATTAATTTGGTCTGAACTCGTGAATGGTAATCTTACTTACAGATTTTAACAGACCCACTAAAAATAATTCTTGGTGGCTAGGCGCGGTGGCTCACGCCTGTAATCCCAGCACTTTGGGAGGCCAAGGTCGTTCAAGAAGTTCAAGACCAGACTGACCAACATGGTGAAACCTCATCTCTACTAAAATACAAAAATTAGTCTGACATGGTGGTGGGCACCTGTAATCTCAGCTACTCGGGAGGCTGAGGCAGGAGAATCGCTTGAACCCAAGAGGCGGAGGTTGCAGTGAGCCGAGATTGTGCCATTGAACCCCAGCCTGGGAAACTAGAATGAAATTCCATCTCAAAAAAAAAAAAATTATGTATCATTCATGGGCTGATTCAGAGGTCTGTGGGCTAAAAAAAAAAAAAAAAAAAAGATAAAACTTGTTTTGTACCTCTTCAGAGGAACAAAGAATGTAAAAACTGGGAAGTAAAAGTTCCATTGCTTTTAATGTGTTTGTCACAATTTAAACAAGTTTTCTCTTTTGTTTTGTAGGCAAATCGTACTTGCCCAATTTGCCGAGCTGATGCTTCAGAAGTGCATCGGGATTCAGAATGACCAACCTAAGAAGCACAAGTTTAGTTTGGGTGTTCCTCATCACATGTATATACGGACTATCCATTGAACTTAATCTGTGGCTTCCAGCCCTCCCTTTACCAAAAGGGTCAATGGACCTTTCTTTGCACTGTGTGACTTAATCAACTATAAAAGCTTACAATTAGTCTTCACAGTTATGGGATTGTTATACTAACCGTGTGATTGGAACTCCAAAGACTTTCTTTAGCTTAATTTTGTGTGTGCACTAACATTCCCTGGTTTTTGTGTGATCATTCCGAGTGTTGCTGCAAGATTACAGTGGACGTGATCTTTTAGCATGTGCTTTTATAAAAAGTGGTAGCTACAGATGATATAGCAATCTACCTTATATAGAGCCTTCAGAAACTGTGAGTGGAAATGAATGCAGCGTATGACTGTTGGTGATAAGTGTATCTGTGTGAGAGTGTGCAACTACTTGTGTGAGGGCATGGTAGCTAACGTGTGTATGAGATCCTATATACCAGCATGTACCAAGAATGTGTGTGTAGTTTTAATTATGCTGCAATGTATAATCTGGTGTGTTATTTAAACAGCACTAGTACTGTACACTGGTTTTTTTTCCCTTGTGTTTGCTGTTGCACACTGATTGCTGAGGGTGCATCAATTACAAACATCGAATACTCCATCCCCTTCCCTCCCGATAAATGGAATGAGAAAAGCCTTCTTCCTTTGCTTCAGGCAGCTGTCACCTTCTCTTTATTGGTGGTCCTAAGTGGGTCAACTTAAAAAAAAAAAGTATAACACATTCTCACTCCATGAACCTGATTTTTTTATTCTATTGTGGAAATTTTTAAATCTCCAACTTGGTGTTTCCAAAAAGAAGGTGCAATATCATACATCATCAGTTAGCAATATTAACATTTCAATGATTTGAATGTTGATACTTTTTTTCCTTTACATTTCCAGTAAGTTTCTTACAGAAAGTACCTGTGATTTTTTTTTTTAATGTTTAGATTTGTAGTCTATTCTGAAGATATTTAATATATTTCTAAGAATACCACTAGTCCCATGAAGTCACCTCGTTGACTTCCACCAGAACAAAATCTGTTAATTCAGCTTGACTTCTGATTACGCGTTCTGTGTTCAAGCTCCTGTGGGCAACTAAATTGTTCTAAGAAAACTGTATTTCTGTTCATATTAATTCACTTGCCAGGCTCAAATTCTGAAAGTTGTCTAGTTGTTCCTCATCGAAACCCTTGTTACAGGATGGATCAAGTGCTGTTACAGCTCATGTTCCTTAGACCTGGTTTGTTTTGATGTTTTATTGCTTTTCCTTTTTTGTTTAAGTTTAATACAACAGGTGTTCGGAATACTTGCAGTATAAATGAAGATTTGATTTTTGTATAAAAAATAATGCTGTTAAACAGGAATTGGTCGACGTTCATTTAGTTGATCTGAGATAATACATAGCTGTGTGGGGTTTTCTTTTAGTAGGTTCTTTGATTATAATTCAGATTGTTTAAAGTCATTTTTCCAGCAATGTTTCAATTACTTTCTCATTCTTTTGGTGTATTCAACATTGTCTGCCTCTTCCTGCTGTTGATGTCATTGCTTTGTTTGCAATAGCTCAAGCTGCATTATTCCAGTCAGAACTGTGATAACTTGCTGCCAGCCCCACTCAACTTTCAATTGGCTCTGTGTCAGTTTTCCACTCAGTGTTAACTACTTGTTACTGCCATGCTGCTTGCCTTCCCTTGAAGTATCTATAAGCTCATCACCGCCTAGAGTTCAGTAAAGTCAATTCACAGAAGCACAATTTTGCCCTTTTCTAGAAACTCTTGCCTCTATCTAGTCATACAAGTAGGGTTTTGCATACTGTTGGCCCCTAGGTTGTTAGTGCATCAGAAATATATCTAAACAGTGGTAAAAATGCACATGTTGCTTTTAAATCATTAGGATACCCCTCACCTGTTCCTGATGAATAAAAAGTGTGTTAAAGACCAAAATTCTTGGCATAATAATCAGCTACATACAAATCACGTATAGTTTAATCTTTATTTTTTTAATAAAAAAAAATCATGTTTAAAATGGCAAAAGCCCATCTTATACATACTCTTTTATATAGCTGCAAAAAGTTTGTATCTGTACAGATCTAACACTACTACACTCAGTATTCATTTTATTGAAGCATGCAAGTAAAGCACTTTTTCTAATTTATATAGAGATACCTAATTAACAAGGCACACTGTACTAATGACTAGGAGAAGTAGCTTTTTTCCCTCCTTCTATGTCCCCTTTTCTGTAAATTTTTGAGAGGCAGTTGGCAATTTAGGAGGCAGCAGGATCTGTTTTGGTAAAATCTTGAATATCAGTGTTGCACTCTTGTGACTGATCTCTCTTTGGGAATGTCTTTTCTTTGCATGGGGCTCATAGAGATGTGTGCAGACTTGCTTATTGTGTATTGGGAACACACAAGTGTGTTCTGACCAGCTCAGGCTTGCCAAAATGAGCAACTTTGTGGCTAGCAAAAGAGAAGAAACAGTTGATTTGTGCCCAGCCATTGTCACTTTGGGTGATGCACCAGATAGCAGGCAGATGGTTCCTTGGCCTTTGTCCTCTTTCCTCCTAAAACAATATTGGCTTTACCATCTTAACTCAGCTGTGGATTTTTTGTGGGTTGTTTGTTTTTTGGCATGAATTGTTATCTTTGGTGTTTTTTTTTAACCCACCACCCCTCAAAAAATAATAAGGTCCAGGTATCAGTATCTCCTCTTAGGATTTTTTGTCCTTAATTTTTTGAGCAAAATCTGGAAAATGAAAGTGTATTTAGATTTTATATACTATCTGAAATATGATTTATTAGGATTCTTAAATTTGGACCTCTTAAAATAATTTTGAGTGAGATCTACCAACTCACTTGTGAGAATATTTTTCACAGATATCTTTGGGCCTTTTCAGTAGGAAGCTGTTTGTCCCCATTGGTACATTTGGTTACCTCATTTTGTCGTTGGTTTGTTTCAGATTGTGAAAGCTCACAGGGGTGTTTTTTGGAATCATTTGCTGAGTCATTTTCTCAAATCATATTCCATTGTATCAGTTAACATATAGTTTTAAATGTACGTATTATAAATATCTGTAACCAAATCATTTGAAGGCTTGATAAATTTTTAACAAAGTTTGTACATTTTTTATGAAAGTTACTAGTAATGCTTTACTAAGTAGTGCAATGAATTTTTATTTTTAATCCCTGTGCCCAATTTTGGAGTTGAGAGGGTTGTTGGTAATAAATGTATGATGTACACTTAAAACATTTGTTGTGTTTCATGTCACACGTGTTAGGGATGGGGAAGGGTTCTGTGTGAATGGGGGTGGAGAGGTGGCCACAGGAAGATAGAGCTGTGTTGAACTACTGGCTGCCAGTTTATCTATTTCTGCATTTCTGTAAACAACATAGAAATGCAATAGTAACTAGCATTGTAACGTGGCACATTTTTCTATCTCTGTAAGGGCCAAGAAGATAGCAGAAAGTATAGCCACACATGGTATATGAATATTGAACAGTAGATATACGTAAGTAGAGCCTGGCAACATGGTGAGACCCCCATCTCAACAAAAAAAAAAAATTTTTTTTTTTTTTTTGAGACGGAGTTTCACTCTTGTTACCCAGGCTGGAGTGCAATGGCGTGATCTCAGCTCACCGCAACCTCTGCCTCCTGGATTCAGGCAATTCTCCTACCTCAGCCTCCTGAGTAGCTGGGATTACAGGCACGCGCCACCATGCCCAGCTAATTTTTGTATTTTTTGTAGAGATGGGGCTTCACCCTGATTGAGGTCAGGATGGTCTCAATCTCTTGACCCTCGTGATCCTCCTGCCTCGGCCTCCCAAAGTGCTGGGATTATAGGCGTGAGCCACTGCTCCCGGCCTTCCACAAAAATTTTTTAAAAATAAGCTGGGCCTGGTGGCACACACCTATCGTCCTAGCTACTTGGAAGTCTAAGGTGGGAGGATCACTTGAGCCCAGAAGTTTGAGGTTACAGTGAACTTTGTGCCACTGCACTCCAGCCTGGGCAATAGCAACAAGGCCCTGTCTCTTCAGGGGGGGAAAAAAAAAGATATGTTGTAGGTAACTAGAATTCAACTAGAATTCTTTATATGTATGTTAACCATAAGAGGTAGGAAACAAGACTGCAATAGACAGCTAGTCAGATTTGTCCACATTAGCTAGTTTATGTACAACTTAATGTAATATGGAAAGAGGAGCCTCTGCTTGTCATTTTCCCTTTTTAGTCAAAGGAAAGAAAATAATATACATATCCTGTGTTAATTCAGATTTTACCCTCTTGCCTCGCTCTGGTACTCGCCTGACAGAAATGACCACATCCTGAATTTTTTTCCTCCTTTTTCCAACATAGTACTTGTGTTTAACTGAATGTTTCAAGAAACCTGAAACTTAACACTGTGTTTTATGACAGAGGCATTTACTGCTCAGTAAGTATCCATGCACTATCCCAAGTCACCCTACTTAAATAAGTCATGGAGTGCCATGGTTCTGGCCACGGGCCTGTAAGCATAGGCTCTGTGGCCTTTCCATGCAGCAGAAACAAAAGCCAGCTGTCTTCTGCTTGGGTGGTGGCAGCCTGAATCGCTTCTTGGAAAAGAGCTGCCTTTTTGTTTGAGACCATATCTCACTATCAACCAGGCTGGAGTGCAGTGAGGCAATATTGGCTCACTGCAGCCTCCATCTCCTGAGTTCAAGTGATTCTCCTGCTTTAACCTCTCAAGTAGCTGGGATGTGTCACCACATCCAGCTAACTTTTATATTTTTAGTAGAGAGAGGGTTTCGCTATATTGACCAGGCTGGTCTCAAACTCCTGACCTCAGGTGATCCACCTGCCTTGGCCTCCCAAAGTTACAGGTGTGAGCCACTGCGCCTGGACGGGAGGATAATATTCTTATGAATGGGATCACATCACAGCCAAATGTTTCAGGTCTCTTGTACACTTTTAATGAACGGATGAACAAGGCTGTCCAATAAAGTGTAATTAGCCACATGATTTTAAATTTTGTTAGCCACATTAAAAACAGTTGAATTTTTTTGATATTCAGTCCAGTATACCAAAATATAATATTAAGATACTTTGTATTTTCTCATAGTAGTCTTTGAAATCTTGTGTGTTAACACCTTATCTCAATTTGGACTGTTCACATTTCAAATGCTCAGTAGCCACATGTGCACGGTGGCCACCAAGTTAGATGGCATAGGTCTAGACCAGAACCATGCAAAGTTACCTGGTTTCTAAAGCATAGAACATTACTCGTGATATTCCAAGATTACTTTCTGTTACTGCATGCCTTAGCAAACGACAGTATGATCTTAAAACATTTCACTCTATAGTTGAAACTTTTGTTGCTATAATACATTTAAAAATACTCATTTTTAAAGCAGACTTAATTTCTCTGAAGCTGCCACAGATAACATTCAAGAACAAAGCTCCTTGTCAGTAAATTTTCAGATGATACGTTTCCTTAGTACCTTCAGGATTCACAGCTATTTAATTTGGGCCAGGCCCAGTGGTTCCTGCCTGTGATCCCAGCACTTTTGGAGGCCAAGGTGAGGGGTCACTTGAGGTCAGGAGTTCAAGACCAGCCTGGCCAACATGGTGAAGAACCCTGTCTCTACTAAAAATGCAAAAATAAATTAGCCGGGCAAGGTGGCGGATGCCTACTGTAATCCCAACTACTCAAGAGGCTGAGGCAAGAGAATCGCTTGGACCTGGGAGGCAGAGGTTACAGTGAGCCAAGATCTCCAGCCTGGATAACAGTGAGATACTGCACTCCAGCCTGGGTAACAGAGTGAGACTGTTTCAAAACAAAAAGATAATTTGGTCATCATAAAATTCAGCATTCTGGAGAATTGAGGGTAGGAAACTTTAACCCCACTTTTGAGATGGAGTAGATTCCTCTTCAGCACACATGCTTTTGAATTTTTTCATGTATTCCTCCTCCTAATTTTGCAGGAAATACCGTAAAAAGAACAAGGCAACAGAAAGAGGTCTCAACCAATTTAGAAAACTGGTTGGCATTGCCTATTCAAGTTCATGTGCTATAACCCAGTTCTTCTCCTAGGTATATTCCTAGTAAAATGCATGCAAATTGACCAAAAGGCATGTATAATGTTCATGGCAGACTACAAAAGCCTGAAACTGGAAACGATCCAAATGTTTATCGACCATAGAACCGATAGTAAATTATGGTTGAGCTTTACAGTGGTTTTTATGCAGCATAGAGGAAACCAACTACACCGAGCAACACGGATGAATCTTGCTAATATATTGAATAAGACACAAAAGCACACACTCTCATGTGTTGTTTGATATACTTGTGAGACTATTCTTAAAATTGTTAACAATTGTAGAAAGTTCAAAAACAAGCAGAATATTCACAACTCAGCTCTCTGGGCTTTACTGAGCACCAGCTCATGTCAGGCAGCTTTGAAATTACATCATTAGTCTTTACTGTATTAATTTCTTAGGGCTGCCATAACAAGTTACCACAAATGTGTTGACTTAAAGCAAAGTTATTCTCTCATAGTTGAGGCCACAAGTTAAAAGTCAAGATGTTGGCAGAGTTGGTTTTCTCTGGCGGCTCTGGGGGAGAATTTGTTCCATACCTCTCTCCTAGCTTCTGATGGCTGCTAGCAACTCTTGGCATGTCTTGGCTTGTAGACATAACTCCGCTCTCTGACTCTGCCTCTGCCTCTGCCTCTGCCTTCACATGGCCACTGCCCACCTGTCTTTATCTTCTTCAGCTGGGTGGACGGTCCCATACCTCTACATAGATGTCAGCAATAGGGTCCACTGTAGGGTTACCTGTAAGAAAAGCCAGATTCATTTCAACTCAATACATCATTTAGATCTATTCCAACAAATGAACTCAAGACTTCAGAATGTCTCATCATAGAGCATGGCCAAAATAATTTGACGTAGCAAATGTTAATGAAGCTCACTCATTCTTGCAGTCAAAGATAAACCTCAGTCATGCTCTCACACATCGATTTAGAGTAGCACTGCTTCCTAGTATGTCCATGAAGATAAATTCACTATGAAATGCATCATCAGGTAGATGAGCTTAAAGGGGATGAATAGGAAGCCTACAACCTGTGTCCCACATGGAGAATCAAAATCTAATGAACCTGGAAAACATCATGCTAAGTGAAAGCAGCCAGACACAAAAGGCCACTTATTGTATGATTCTGTTAAGAATTGGCAACTCTACAGAGAAAGTATTAATATATTAGTGGTAGGCTAGGGCTGAGGGGGGAATAGTAGGGTTGAGGGTGATCATGAAAGGGTGTAAGGTTTCTTTTGGGAGTAATGAAAATTACTTATGGTGATGGATGACAATTCTGAATATATTGAAAGCTACTGAATTGTACACAGTAAGTGGATCATTGTATGGTGCAACTGATCTGTAACTGAACTATATCTTAATAAAGCTGCTTTTGAAAAGCACAATGACATATACCCACCAGAAAATATCTATAATTAGGAAGAGTAACAGTACCATAAATGTTGGTGAGAACGTGAAGCAAACTAAAACTCTCATTCACTACTCATGGTAATATAAATAAGAACCACCAATTTAGAAAACTGGTTGACATTGTCTGCCCAAGTTCACGTGCTATAACCCAGTCATTCTTCTACATATATTCCTAATAAAATGCTGCAAATGGGCACCAGAAGGCACGTACAATAATGTTCATGGCAGACTACAAAAGCCCGAAACTGGAAACAATCCAAATGTTTATCGACCATAGAACTGATAGTAAATTATGGTTGAGCTTTACAGTGGTTTTTATGCAGCATAGAGAAAACCAACTACACCGAGCAACACGGATGAATCTTGCTAATATATTGAATAAGACACAAAAGCGCACACCCTCGTGTTCAATATACTTGTGAGACTATTCCTAAAATTGTTAACAATTGTAGAAAGTTCAAAAAGAAGCAGAATCTGTGATGTGAGAAGACGTGATTGTGATTATTCTAGACGGGTGATTGTGACCTAGGAGCTCAGGACATGAGGAGGCATCTGGACTGTCAGTCATTTTTTTATTTGTTAATCCACATGCTTGGATACACAAATGGTTCAAATTAAGAAATTCATTGTTCAATCTTCTGTATAATTTTATAAATTTTATTTTAAAAAATAAGTGGTAGACTCTACTCTGACATTTTATAGAAGCACAGCTGTGCAATGCAAGGGCACATGAATTTTTATCATCCTAAATGAGCAACACCAGCTTTA